CTTAAAGTACGCAGCCTCAACGATCCTCAAGGACCGCGTACTTAAAGACCGCTAAGGGCGGAAGTGCGAGGCTTGTGAAATGGGACTGTCTAGCCTCCATTGCGCTGCCCAGGTTGCCTAGCAACCATGATACTAACAGCTGGAAACGTTACATACAGCATTGTTTGACAGAAATGAAGGAGAAAATCTTTTTTTCATTTGTTTGTTTGTTTCTACATGAGCTTTGATCATTCTCTGTAAGATTAAGGTCAGCTATTGAACGGCGTATATTTTAAAGTAAAGGCTTTAAAACCAAGTTTGTACAAACGTCACTAATGTCACATAACTTTGCCGACATGTGGCCAACAGTAATGTTTTCATGTTCTTCGTTATTGAACATTTGCACATAAATAAGTGACATAATATTCAGTACTTACTTAAAGTTTACTCTTCGGACGATCCTCGTCCGTCGTTTTTTTCGGCAGAATTATCCACACCCACCGCCGCGCTATGCATTCTGGGATATGTTAGGTCACGAAGTCTACACCGCCACGTCCTTAAAATTCAGGGAAATGAAGGACGCATTTCAGGGCCGCATTTCGAGCAGCCTTTGAATTGGGACAGCCTTCGTCGCGTCGCGGTGACGTAATCGGCCTTTAAGGCTGCAGACCCTGAATTGGGATACAGCCCATCTCTTCTTCCATTGAACCGTTTTAAAACAAGAAGAGCCTCAAACCTGAATTCTGTCTTGATGCCAATAGGGGGCAACAACTGTCAACTTCTTTTGAGGTTTTATAGACATGTGATGTTAGCTTGTTCATCATTTTGTACATGTGACAGCGCAGGATCGCAAAGGGATCGAGATGACCCGGCTGGCATTTGACACATGTTAGCAGCAGTGCCAAGGTGCAGCTTTTATTTTGAAGGTGAGCCCTATCAATTTCCTGTTTTTCCCACAGTTTTCACATCAAGTCATTAGCAAACAAACATGAAAAACTAAAGGTAACCATGACAACCAATGCAGTCACTCTGCAGCTTCTTTGCATCTGATTTTCTTTTATGTTTCCATAGCAACCACTGCTCTTACTTTCAATATGGCTGACAGTTCTTAAGCTATCCAGTTGTTCAGTCTGACGTCACTAGCCGTGTCTGAGTCTAAACTCCGCTGCAGGTCCATATATCAAACGATCACTATGGCATTACTGAGAGTTGAAAAACTGTCTAAAGTCTTTCATCTTTATTAAAATGATCAGCGTTCTGCTCTACCAGGTGTAACAATTGAGTTTAACATCCAGGCATCCATGAAAACGGAATTTATGACATTTAACGGAGTTAGAAGTTAGCAGGGAGTTAGCTCGCTAGCTTCTATCTAAATACAATATAGCATGTCCTGACTGCGGGTTTTGGAAACAAATTAAAACGTACAGCTCTGTTATCACTTCCAGCATAAATGAAGACAGAAAACTAAACAGCAGTGACGTTTGTAGGGTTACTGAAGTTGGGCTAGCTGGTATATGATGTGCTACGTGACCGCTAGCGACACAGCTAAGTTAGCATAATATAAACAAGCTAACTTTTTTTTCCACTCGATAAAAGTTACCGTGAGTGTTCTCGGTGGTCAGGAACAAATGTAATCGCATGGCAGGATGCTGTAAAAGGACCAAACTTCAGCCAGGAGAACAACTGAGATAATCCATCCACAATACGAGGTTAGTCATTCATATACTGCTCCATGGGCTGGGCTGTAGTTACATCCTAAGGTTTTAAAAACTGAGCTTAAATAAATGATTAGCGGTAATAAAAGCCGAGGGAGGTCAACAGTGATCACTGACTGTTTTAGGAGCTTTTTGAGATCAAATAGAAGAAAATACATAACATTAAACATGTTAACAACACAAAAGCCATATTAAACGCAGACTACTTTAGACCCGGAAGTAAGATTCGTCGCGTCATCACTGAACAACCGGATAGGCATAAGACGTCCTGTGAAAACCCTCCCACCAAGTTTGCGCCTGAATGAAATGAGCTAGGTAATTTCAGTCACACTGTTTGAAAATGGAGGATTTTCTGTAGTAGGAAGCTGCACACTGATTGGCTCATGAGTTTTCAATCATAAGTCATTAGACAAGCAGATGCGCCCCATTCCCATGTCCACTTTTTTGCAACAGTGGAAACTGGACTTTAGAAAGTAGTGGGCGACATCCCGGTGTCGCTCACTGGTTTCTAAACCGGTGCCATCCACATTCCTGGCGGTTCCCGTGACCTTTAAAGAGTTTGACCCACCAATCCTGAGCTAAAGATTCAAACACAACAACACAATGACCAGTCAGCTTAAAGACACTGACTGTCTGTCCTCCTCGTCTGTCCTCCTCGTCTGCTCGCCGTTTACAGTCATTGTGAGGTCGTGGACGTGACCTCGCAGACCAGCGGGAGAGCTGCGATCTGGAGGAGAGGAGGAAACTTATCCATACAAATTTCTGATGAAAGAAGCGACTGTTTCTGCCTCTGTGCTGTTGACTGCCCCCTGCTGGCAGTCAACAGCACAGCAGTCAAACTTCAAAAGAAGCTGAAGTTGACTGCTGTCGCCCCCTAGTGGCATGGTGTGGGCGGGGTTAGCGCCTCCCTTACACCTCCACCTCAGAGGTTGGAGTGATAAAATCCCATTCAGGGACCCATTCAAAAAATGAAAGGTTAATGCTTCAGCATGTGGTGCCAGAACTCTGACACACCTGAGTTTACTAGAAGAAGATCACATGACCACAGGAAGCAGCTGGACACCGGCTGCTCGGACCCTCCCCCTCACAACACAGACGCCCTCACACCTGTGTTCAGTCATTTCAGAGAACACCACTGAAAATCAGTCTGAAGACAATCAGCTGCACAAAGGAAGCTCTTCATCATCATCACCCTGACACACGTCACATTAATGCCATTTAACAGCTGACCAATCAGTATACAGAGGTCCTCCACCCACTGATGGAGCCGCGCGGACAGACAGACAGGTGGAGGTGCAGCAGGACCGGAAACTGAACAAAGCAGTCCGGATTTTGCACCTCTGCAGCAAAACACACACACACACACACACACACACACACACACACACACACACACACACACACACAGTATCACCTCTGAACATCCACCCGCTTTGGATCCCGTCAGCAGAACCGGAACCTTGCTACGGCTGGGTCTCAGTCCGGTTCCGGTGGGTTCCGTTTCCTGCAGAACAGCGCAGAGACGTCTGTGTGCGGGAGGAACCTGCTGCGGTGTGTGTGTGTGTCAGGGTGGGCGGGGCAGAGCGAGCTGTGAAACGTTCCTCGTGCGTGTTGCTGTCAGGTGATCGGAGCCTAAAGGGTTACACTTTGGCGCTGTTTTTAACCCTTCACGCACCTGAAACGTCACAGAGACAAAAACACGTGATTCTGCCTTTTTTTCTAATCGCCTGAAAAAGCAGCTGAATGCAGGCTGTGGCGCCCCCTGCTGGGACAGGAGGGGGGACATGCTTTTCCCCAGAGGAACCCAAGACAGTCACAGACAGGGAACACTGGGAGGGCTGAAGCTCACCTGCAGCAGGTGTTACTGGCTGAACGTTCTTCTGAAGGCTGGTGCTCTTTAGCTCATTCAGAATCATTTCCAGTTTATTAATATTAAATCCTGAATTCAGACACTGTGACCTGAACAGAGAACATTTTACAAATATCCATGTGGATGGAAGAGAGATAAGAATTTTTACCGACAGGCTTCTCTTCATCATTATATGTGATCACACACACAGAATTAAACCATTACTAAATATGTAGTTTTGTACTCAGGAAAAGGCGGTTGTCTGTGCTCAACCTAAACAGACGAGCAGGTCCACCACAGGGGGGTGCTGTTTCAGAGCTGCTGTCATGATGTGAAAACTGAACTGAGTCCTCAGAGTGGTGACTACATGTTTGCATTACCTTTCACTGTGTGTGAGTGAGAGAGAGAGACTTTAAACTGTATTCTCCTATTTTTACCTGCAGCTGGAAATGAGCTGGATAAAAAATTTTTTTTAAAAAGTGACTGAAAGAATCTTTCTCTCTGGTTGATGCACCTCTACCAAGCAGAGTGATGGGCAGACGCAGGTGCTCAGTGCGTCACCTGACAGGTGGTTATGATCAGCTGAGAGAAACGGTGATCACAGGTGTCTTTAAAGTAATTTCTCCCTTAAAGACATTGTGTACACGATGAACCCACCTGACACTTCCTGCAGCATCACTTCTGTTCCCATGGAAACACCCGATGACCCATTTGTTCGTTCCATCAGCGTGATGTGACATGGATGAACCAGCGCTCTCAGGTGTTCGGACACAAAAACAGAAACACCTCGTTCAGTTTGGTTGGCTTTATTAGAAAAATGCTGTTTATGTACAAAGTGCAGCTCCAACGATCAATCGGAACTGGATTCAGTCCCTGTGCCTCACACAGAAACTGGTCTCATGAAGCCGGTTCTCAGCTGGATATTAAAGACCATTTTCAGGAACCTGATTGGTCAATAGGTTTGGGATGTGAATAAGCTCCACACCAACAGGTGATTTAGTGTCACCACTTCAGGTGAACGTGGGTGGGATCCTCCTCCACAGACCGCCACACAAACAGTTCTTAATCCAGCGCTGCTCCCATTGCTTCATGGCGTTTGTCTTGTTGGGAGAACGGAGCATTGTCACGCAGCCGCACCTGAAAGAGGCGGAGCTTAGTGATGTCATTATGAAAGTGGAACATGTGACATCGCTTCCCACGGACTCACCTGGTGCAGGCTTTGCTCTCCTCGGTAGGACAGACGCCCATGTGAACACAACGCAGGTTATCCATCCTCTGGGAGCCAGGAGTCCTGCGAGCACACACAGAAACACACAAGTTACCGTCAGCACAGTCACTGGTACCTTCTCGACTCAACCTGGTTTTGTTTGTTTTCCATTAGAATCCAGTACCAAATAATGTGTGTGGGGTTGTTCTAGGAACTCGGCTGAAAGTCCTGTGACATCATTCGCATGTGACACAAACAGAGGAAGACGTGGAGGCAATGGTGTATCTGCTGCTAGGTCTGTGGCGTTGTTCTTTGTGCAGCTGTGTTCCTCATTGCCAGGTTTCAAAAACGGCGGTATTGATTTTCATGAAGGAGACGCTCTCATGACTCATCGAGTGACGCCACTGACTAGCCAATTGGTGGCATGCAGGCTGCTGACACCTGAGATCGCTTGGAATCCTGGCCAGTGGGTACTAAATTAGTACCTAGTACCAGGTACTACCACCTAATGGAAAATCGTAAAAACCGAGCCGACCCAAGTAGGTTCTAAGTGAAACGGCAGTTATGGAAAGCTGCAGGCTGAGGTGTGCATTACCTGTTGAACACCTCCAGAGGTGTGGGCGGGGCGTTGCTGGGCAGGGACGAGGCCTTGCCAAACTGCAGCCTGAGTGGGTGCTTGCCCTGGAGCTTCACCATCACACCGTCATTGACGGGCAGCCAGTCCATGCTGGGCACCAGCAGCTGGCTCGGCAGCAGGCAGCACTCGTCGATCAGACTGTCGTCGGGGTCCTGGGGGGCGCCATCATCCCGTGCTGAGTGACAGAAAATGGGAAACTGTTTAGTAGTGGTGACAGCTGAAAACTGCTTCAGCCTCTCTTTGACCTGAGTTCAAGCTTCTCTCGTGCTGAGCTCAGCAGGACAATTGTTTTCAGGGCTCAGGTGAAGTTGATGGTGACAAAGAGCACACGCCACACGTCTGTGGTTCTGGTCATGCCTCAAACTGGGATGATAAGTTCAAAAAATCTTGTTGATTCCAGATTTGAAATCACAGAAATTGATCCTGGAGGAGATTTAAACTGTTTAATAAATTTAAACTGTTGTCAGTCTGCCCCAGGGCAGCTGTGGCTACAACTGTAGCTTGCCTCCACCAGTGTGTGAATGTGACAGTGAATGAATAGTGGAATTGTACAGCGCTTTGAGGGCCCGAAAAGCGCTATATAAATGCAATCCATTTTTATTATTATCATTATTATTAATAATACTGGATCAATGCAGTCATAAATCTATAAACTTATAAAATAGGCTAAGCTACTTTCAGCTTTATGGAGCAGGTTGGAAGTGTTGACCCCCTTTTTTCTTTTAATTTCCCACAAGGCAGGCATTTTTATTTCTCTCCTCCTCTCACTTGTATGGTCCAGATGTTCATCCAAGTCTCAGGAGCAGCAGGGAGGATTTCATATTTCAGGAATCAGTGGAGCGATCTGAGGAATCCTTCCAGAGTGACAACTGACCTGTAGCAGCAGCTAGCTGTGAGTCTGAACTCAGGATTATTTACAGTTTCCATCTTACTGTCAGTTTTACCTACAGAACACCTGTTGCCAAATGCATTGATCCGATTGGTCAGACCTGTTTATTTCCATGTGAAAAGAACCCAACAAAAACAAACAGTAAATTAATTAAGAACAATTTACATGTGGCGGTGAGTGACGGCCCGTGCCATTCTAGTCTGATCTGCTCCGAGGCTGATGGAGGCTTTCATCCAGTTCTCTCTACACTACACATGGATGATTAGATGTTTTCCTCTCTTAGCTGGATGCTTCCTTCTCCTCAAAACTGCTGATGGAACTGCATGGTGTTTGCAGTTGAGGACTTCCTGTTTCACTCACGGCTCCTTCAACAACACCTGGGATCACCTGCACACCTTTGACCTGATTCACTTTAAACAACCATGATTGAGGGAAGACTAACCCGAAACCTCAGATTAAAGCTCATAACCTTTGACTGAACGTGAGAGGACCTGAGGTCAGATAAAGTGGCCCAGTCCTGACCAGAGGTGTGTTGCTTACAGCAGAGCCACAGCTTGGTGAGCAGCCTGAACAGCAGCAGCATGCTGTCCTGGTTGTCCGACGTGGCAGTGAAGGTGGGCAAACAGCCGGGCTTCAGCAGACCCCAGATCCGGATCATCACCAGCATCTCCCTCAGCATCCCCAGAGACGCCCCGTCCCGCATGAAGCCAAACCCGGGCCGGACCATAGAGCCCTATGAGAGCAGCATACATAAACCCGGGGTCAGAGGTCATCAGCCAAACATGATGAGTTCTACTGAGTTCTGCTTCCTGGAGACGAACTGATTGATCTACATCTGCTTACAGCTTCTGTTTCATTGGAATGGTTCCGAGTCACTCCTCCTAACATGGAATAAGGTGTGTGCATCGCCACCCGACTTCACTTACCTGGTTGGGCAGGTTGGCGAGCAAGTACAGGACGAAGTCTCCCACCCACTGGATGAGCTGCTGCAGAGACTGCAGAGGAGGACCATCCAGTACAAACTCCTCCGTTTTCAGGTTGAGCATCACCTTATCGATATCTGAGGAGACATGGAGCCATCAGCCACCACCCACACATGATGGGACACCACCGCCACCTGCGGTCTCACCTGTGTCTGTGTTTTTGGCGCAGATCTCTGTCAGTCGGTCTCCAGGACTCTTGTCCGGCGTGTTGAGGACATGAGGCCTCAGCAGAGACTTGAGGGTGGAGCTGATAGCGATAAGCAGTAGCTTGGCATGGAAGTCACACGCTCGAGCCGCTGTCGCCGTGGAGAGTTTACAGAGAGAAGCCTTCACTGCCACAATGCGTGTCGCCAGAACCTGAAGCACAGAATGGCAAAGGGGAAGTGCTCGAGCCAGAAACATCAGAAACACCCCTTCCTGCGTTCTGCTGACTTTCATCATCTCACCTGTCCTGCATTTTCAAATTAATGGTAAATAATTACTGGGACATTTAATAATGCTGAAAGCAAGACTTTTTTTCTTTTTTAAACACATGTGCTGCCTGGTCCTAACCACAGGGACTACTTCCTGTAGTCTGATAAAAACCTGCTACTGTGATTCTGCCTTTGTGAAGCTGATGAGTGCTAACCGCTTCAGCCCTGTTCAGTCACTGAATCTTCCTGATTCATGAAGCAGAACATGAAGAACAAGACAGAAAACTAAACAGCAGTGACGTTTGTAGGGTTACTGAGGTTGGGCTTGTTGGTATATAATGATGTGCTACATAGTGGCTACTGGCTAGCTACACAGCTACAGTTAGCGTAATATAAACAACTTAGCAGAGTGAAGCTGGAGGATAAATGCTAACTTTTTTTTCTCCACTTGATAAAAGTTAACCCGCGGCTTCCCAATTTTTAGGGACAAATGCAATCGAATGGCAGAAAAAAAGATGCTGTAAACGGACCAAACTTCAGTCAGGAGAACAACTAAGATAATCCATCCACAATACGAGGTTAGTCATTTACATACTGCTGCAGGGGCTGGACTGTAGTTACATAGTAAGGTTTTAAAAACTGAGCTTTAAAATGAATAGTGGTAATAAAAACCGAGAGAGGCCGACAGTGATCACTGACTGTTTTTAGGGTCTTGTTGAGATTAAATAGAAACAAAACATGTTAAAAACACAACAGCCTTAATAAACAGAGCAGTTTGGACCCAGAAGCAGGGTTAATATGTCATCACTTAAAGACCCGGCCTTGTGGTTTTCTCCCAGCATGCTTTGCTGACCTGCTGCAGCGCCTGATTCTGCCTCATGTACTCTTCATGCAGCTTCTCCACCAGGTTGTGCACCATGCTGGGCTGCACATGCAGCAGCACATCCCACCAGTCGTAACCCGTCACCATGCAGTACTCCAGCAGGAACAGCAGGTGACGCAGCGTCGTGTTCATCTCCAGCACCTGGCCCATAGAGGGCGACACACGCAGCATGTGGAGCTGACGAGAGAACAAACAAACAAACAGATTAGAATTAGATTTCTGAATGATTCAAAGCGGCAACTGTCCAGATGTCCATCGACTCGTCCTCGGCTCACTCTCTGGAGACCTTATTTGGTTGTTTTGCTTTCAAATTTCTTATTTCACATTTCTCATCAACCCGATTGAGTTACTTCACACAGAAGTCATGTAGGTTACGGAGATGTCAGGATTCCAGAGGAAACAGTTTCTCTGCTAAATTAATCAACTGATAAGAAACCGATCGATCTGATCTCTGATTGTTAACGTGTGGCGTTTTATTGATCTGGGCTGAACCAGAACCCAGCTGTGTGTCCTCACCTTGCCGTGGTTGTCAACTCCAGCCAGAGCCAATGAGGTCCAGGAGAACTGCAGGGCCTTGAAGTGGACGGTGGGGCCGGCGGTTCTCTGGCGCTTGATGGCCGACTCATCTCCAGGGCGCTGTGCCGAGGAGGCGCCGTAGAACACGCCCATGGTGTGGAGGGAGAGGCGGTGCAGGATCTGGATGCTGCCATCATGAAACGCCAGAGCCAGACCTGAAACCACAATGAAATGAGATGGTTACAACAAAGTCCTGCCACCATCTTTAAAGGAAGCCAGATCAACCTTTAACTTCAGGGGTCAGCAGGGTGTCAGACCTGATGGTCCAGAATAAGCATCGCGGTTTAAGATTTGGTAATGGCCCAAAATAAAGTTCACCAGGTAAACGAAACACAGTGACATTACAATGAGGTCGCTGTCTGAGGCTCCTCCTACCAGTGCTGTGAGCAAACACTATGCCGTAACAGACATGCCATGCCCACAATGACTGTGATTGGCCCGTTTAGTACTCTGATTTCCTCCTACACATTTCTTCTTCTACTGCCATTTTTTCAAATCAACATGAGAACGATCACCCTGACCACAGAAACTCTGAGCTTGATGAAGGTGCTTGGCAGCACGCGTGTACACCTCCCTGAAGAACAACCAGCCATTTCCAGCTCTGAGGCTCACCGAGTCCGGGGCAGAACTTCAGTTCAGTGTTGGAGATGGAGATGGGAAGCTTGGGCAGAGCGACAGCCGACACACGCTCCAGGTCGCTGGTGGTCGTCAGGATCCGCCATTTTAGGATGGTCGGCTGCTTCTCTCCCACTGTCAGAAGAGGTCAAATAAAGAAAGTCAGGGCATTAAATACAAAAGGTCAGTGGTCATGAACACACACACACAGTCTGATTCTTAAAGCCTCTTGTCACTATGCCAACAATTAGCTGGCTGTTACATCACTTCCTGCCTGGTGCTGGGTTTTCTTACCCACAGGCGAACAGTGCTGGAAGATATTATTAACAGGAAGTCCCTCCTTCCTCAGAGACCAGCACTCCACGATGCTGCCGTTCTGATTGGACGCACACAGCAGAACCTGTAAAGCACACACTTCCTCTGAGTTCTGAAGGTCCCGGTGGTCTCGGGTTTAACGGTCACACTTGTCTTATTGATCTGACTGGTCACACTGGTCTTACTTGCTCAGAGTTCTCCCGGGTCAGGAACTTGAGGTGGGTGACAGCGGGGTACTTCTCCCTCCTCAGCGGGTCGGTGGTACAGCGCAGGAAAAGTGAGGGCAGCAGCTCAGTATCAATGCGACATTTCTCACTCACCACACTGACCACCACCTGAAAAAAACAAAGGTAAAATGTCAGGTTAGCATAAGAGGTGAGAGCCCCTTGGTAACGCCAGCATCTTTCGTCCTTACCTTGTAGAACTGCACAGGCGAGGAGCTGCTGCCATCTGTGGCAGCCACCACAATGTTCCCTCCTCCAGTGAAGGCAATATCCGCCAACGCCACGCGCCCTCTCAGCCGGCACAGGCTCTCGCTCGCTGTCAGCAGAGCGCCGCCTGGCTTCAGCAGCGACACAGTCACCAAACCACTCACCGTCACCGCCAGCCAGCCCTCCATCGGCTTACCGCCAAACAGCGTTAAGGACGGTGAAAATTTCACCCGTGAGAACTTCTCCCCGAAGTTTGTGGAGCCAGACTGAAGCAAAAGTAGAAGAGGAGGCAGGGCTTACTCAACTGGTCTCAGTGAGTGTTAAGACACAGAGCTATCACTGCAACGAGCCAGCAGGTGTGTGCACATGTGTGGGCAGCTATTACCATCTCCACGTGCAGTGCCAGCTTGACACCATTGTGCAGCCAGCTGAGAGCGATGATGGGGTCTCCATCTAGCGAGCTTGATAGGACGCTCTCCCAGCTATTTACCAGGTGATCTGACATCGACCAGCATTTGATCTGCCCGTCGCCGTCTGCAGACAGCAGCCGTGAGCCTGCAGCACGCACAAACACACACGTCACTTCCTGTCTCTCTCAGCAGAACGTGACACTGCAGCATGTACTTACATAAAGCAGGAGAACAGCAGCTTCTCCTGCTGGCACAGTCTGAACAGCTTATAGCCATCAGATTCCAGACCAATAACAGTCAATCAGCTGAGCTCATCTCCAAAACATTTAACTGAAGTCTCACCTGATTGGTCCCACTCCAGACAGGAAATGACCTCAGTGTGTCCAGAGTTGATGGAGAAAACATCCCAGGGGTGCTCAGTGTCGATGATATGGATCATGTGACTCACATCTGAAAACAGAACATCAAGTTCAGCGTGTGTTTGTGTGTTCACCTGTGTGTGTGTGTGTGTGTGTGTGTGTGTACTCTTGTCGTCGTCCTCGCTCTTCAGGTCTGTGGTGAAGGCCACGAGGTTCCTGCAGGACCAGGAGCAGACCAGCGGGATGGAAGGGCAGTGCGTGCTCTTCGGACGCTTCTCCCACTCACATACATAGGCCAGTTCCATGATTCCACCACAGAAGAAGAATCTAGATCCCAGGTGGATGTGTCACCTAAAAGACAGACTAGTCAGCTGCTCTAATCACTTAAACACGATTACTGACCTGTTTGTGTGGATAGAGCAGAGATGAACATGAGTGATCAGACCTCTGCCTTACCACTACATGTGTCAGACAGATGCATGAGCCACGGGCTCTCCAGTGCCACCTTTACCCGAAGTAGTAGAAAGTAAAACGTTCAAAGGGGACAGCACTACAGATAAGTGAAAAAGCAAAGCACAAGTAGAAGGACGAAAGAAAAGGAACATACATGCAAAGAAGAAAGCTCTTAAAACATGTGGTTGTCCACACTGGACTTTCATCAAATCAACAAAGATGCACAGAAAAGAAGGTCAGACACCAACTAGGGAGAATAAGAAGGACAAAGGGGAACAACACTGTAATCCCGTATGTAGCAGGTTTATCATAGAAGCATCCCAGTGTACTTCAGACCCAGCCACACACTCAGACACAAACTGGTTCATCCCAAACACAAACACAAACTAAACAACAGTGTATGCTGTGCAGTGCCGTGCTGCAAGGAAAGCTCAAACCTGTACACAGAAGAGGGACTCAGCTGTACATCTGCATCTAAAAGTCAAAGGTCACTCTTTTGAGGATGCCAATGTTCACATTTCGGACAGAGAGGAGTGATGGTTAGTGGAAGAAGCATCTATGTCCACTGTGAACGAACATCTTTGAACAGAGGGCGGGGTTTACAAAACAGACTATTTCCACCCAGATTCACACCTTGGCTCAGGTGTCCTCAACAGGTCACACGATGGGGTGGGGCAACATCTCACAGTGGTTTCACCATTAAACCCCACTGATGGTAATGAGCTCCACCTTCTTTCATACCTTGGTTCTGGTGTTGACTCACGTGATCACTAGTGGGTAAATGACCCAGGATCACCTCTAATGGGGATTAAACACCTGGGACCCTCCACCTTAATTTGTAGAACTGAAGAAGCCTGTTGCACGAAACGTCTTTACAAACTTAAAGCAGTTCAGCTGCTTCTTTTTCAAATTGAACATCAAACTGTTCACCCAGGCCGTGCCAAATAACACCATAGTCACAGTACTCAAAGTACTCAGTCACAACAGTGAATGAGCAGCCGCACTAGCCTCTAGCGTTAGCTCACCTGAAGGTTTTCCGCTTCTGTCACGCAGATGAGAATGAAAATTAGCCGTTTTCCTTTTCCTGTTTTTAAGGCTGTTTAATATTAACTTAAAGTAATTAAAACACCAAAACATTGAAACACCAGACTTGAGTTAAACTCAGCGCTTTTTGCTTGCTGCTGTTAAAAACAAACCGCTCTCTGTTAAAAGGATGTGGGGACCCCGTAGCTGCCTCTACAGCCGCCTGACTATAAAAACTGACGGCACCCCAAAGCTCTACTCAAACAGCGTCTAGGCGAGACGTTTAAGCTGCGTGTCATATAAACGTGTTTGTCTGTGAGATGACTGATATAACCTCTGTGATCAGTTTGATATCGGCCCTGTGCGACGAACCGGCTGTTTATCTGACGGGCGCCGCGGACACCATCCTCTATCCCCGGTAACATTCTTCCCTGAGCGAAGTCTTCTAGGCGGAAAAAAATTAAAAGATACCTGCGCCCAATTTTAGTTTATTGTGGTTTCCTTTACTAGTATTTACTCGTTGTTGTTTTTAATAATGGAAACTAACGCTGAAAAAAATATCCGACCTCGATGCATTGTCATCTTGTTCATCTGTCCAGAAACATATTTTAAATCTGGTGTCAGGTGACTTTTTCTTTAGCTGTGAGTTCACACTGACAGGGTGCACAGCTAGATTATGGTCTGATCTAATGATCTGCTGTATGAGTGAGTTCGATCTTCTGTTTTTTGATCACCTTTTGTGTTGTATGATGAGCAGGATGCTGTCCATATGGTTGGTTTTTGTATGGACTGAAGTAAAGAAAGACTTTATTGAGAAACATCACATCCTCTTTTCCTGTCTCCTCCTCCCTGATCCTGGTTTTCTTCCCGGTTAAAGAGATTTCTTCCTCTCTGCTGTCACCAGGTACCCTCTGATTTTGTTAGTTACACTCACCTCACCAAACAATGTGTTTGTTTATTGTGTTTATGTTTTGTGCTGTGTTGGTGTGTTTAAGTAAGTAAATGTATTTGTGTAGCACATGTCGGGATACAACAGGTGTTACAAAGGTGCTTCACATCAAATCAAAACACGAAACAAAGAAATGCAGGTAAATTACAAATAAACTAGAATGAAACGTCAGTTTAACCTCCTACAACCTGGTTACCACATATGTGGACATCACATTTTTGGTTGTCTAGACCTAAATACAAAATTTTGCTCTACAAGGGCCTGATATCCACTTACGGGGACATTATACTGCCACTATTCTATCAAAATTTAAAACAAATGTCCTCATATGTGGATCTCATTTTTCTCATAAACAAAAATCAGGTAAAAAAATAAATAAATCTGGTAATTCTTTGTTTTTACATTCATCAGGTCACAATCAGCCCAAATAGCAAAGAAAAATTAAAAATGCATGCAATGAAAGAGTTCGGGTCTTAGGGGGTTAAAGCAATGAGAATCACTGTTTAATTTTGTGTGGAAGGTTTTCTGGTAATGCTGCTAAAAACACATTGTAAACATTTGTTTCAGAGATGGGTTTGGGGTGCTCTGTTTGGCTACACTTCCCGTTTCTGGATCTTTTGGAGAAAGTTAGAACCCTCTGTTCAGATGTTTTTCAGAAAGCAGGTAAAACTGAGCTTCCTGTCGCTGGGATTCTGCTATAATGCTGCAGCTGTCAGCAGATGTTTGTGTCTTGCAGTGAACCATCTGAGTGTCTGAAGACTAAAAATCATTTTTTATTTTTGATGCATCATGAAAACAATCAGAAACTTCCCGTGCTGCTGTGTCAGATTAAAAGTCTCCAGATAAACACTGGAACTATCTTTTTTTCTCTATATGAATCAGACACGTTGTCTCTGTTTTAGGCTCTAACCAACGGACTGCTGATTAGACAAGGGGAACTGCTGTCATCTTCAAGGAACAATCAGCAACAGCCATTTCTGTTGGAGCGTCTTTAGAAACCACTGCATCCCAGCTTGAGGAGAGAAACTCAGTCCCATATTTCAGGATCTCCTGCCCTGCTGCTTGAGGTCGAGTCCTGTTTTGGAGTCAGGCACACTCACTGGTTCTCCTGGTTGGCAAATTGTCTGGCCTCCCAGAGCAGAGCTCCCTGGTTCTTATGTCGATTGACTCGAGTCGACTCCACAACCTGAAAACAGGCCAAGACGACAAGGAGTTAAGGAGACAAGGAGTAAAGGGGTTAAGGTTACAGGAGAAGCCCATACCTCGTTGTTGATCTCATCAACTGGCTGGATCCCTGCGTACTGTAAAGAAACAAACAAATAAAAATAGACTCCGTTATTATTGTGCAGTTTTAAAACCTCAGTTCCAACAGTCAGGACGCTGGTTGAACTGCAAATAAAAACAGAATCCAATGATCTGCAAATCCCATAAACTCATATTTTATCCACAATAGAGCACAAAAACACAGTAAATACTCAAAATGAGACATTTTACTGTTTCATAACAAATCTGAGCTAATGTGGAATTTGGCAGCAGCGACTTGACCTAAAAGTTGCGACGGAGCAGCAAAAGTGTGTCAAAGTCCAGCAGTGCAAAAGAAAAGATCAAAGGGAGCTGGCAGCAGGTCAGCCACGTGATCAGGTGGAAAAAGATCCTCTCAGAGAGGTGGAGCTTCTCAGAAGTTCACCAACCTGTTTCAGAATCACAGTCCTTGCTGTGAACATTTTATCAATTACACAACATGACATCATCAGCATATTCAGTGGATCTGAGCGCAGGGATGAGGCTGTAAATCAGTATTGGATTTCTGTGATCTTCAGCTGTTCTCCTCAGCTCACAGACTGATGTTACGGAAGAGGAAACATGGACCTGTCTAGATGTGTTGCTGCCATCAGATTCAACACAAGCTCATATTTTTATTAAAACATTTACCATGGTTAAACATTTTATGTGTTTTCTGTGTTCTGTAGTAAATAATATATTCGTTTAATAGATTTACAGATTGTTGCATTCTGGCTTGTTTTACAGTTCACACAGACCCAGCTTTGTTGGACCTTGGTTTTTATTTTATTCACTTCCATTTTATTTGTGCAGCATCATTTCATTGACAACGTCTAAATGATCATCTTCATCATCTCCTGAAGCAGGAAGAGGCTGAAAAAGCAGAAAGAGCAAAACTACTTACTGCACTCTCCTCCAGCTTCAGTTTGGCTCGATACTCCTCAAAGTTCTGCAGCAGAGTCTCCGTCAGACCTCGCACTGCTAGGGAGGGGGAGGAGGGAGAGGGAGAGGAGGAGGTCCAGGGCCGAGCCGTGATGAAGGAGACGGAGGGCAGACGGAGGGAGGGGCGAGGAGAAGACACGCTGGCTGGTTTCTCTGAAACACCGTGGAGGAAATCATGAATGACGTCATATGTGACACGCTGTGATGTCATCAGTGTTTGAACAGCAGCTGTTTCCTCCGATCATGTTTTTTTTTTTTTTATTATTTAAATGGAAACAGAACTTTAAACAGGAAACACATTTAAGGTGGAGCTTTCCAGTTTTCAGTTATATTCAGTGGAATCATTTTAATGTGAAGCTGTGGTTGTTCCTCTAACGGCCAGCAGAGGGAGCAGTAAGTAAGTCCTCAAAGACTTCCATGTGTCTGTAGCTACTAGCTGTCTGGTAGTGTGATATCCACTAACACGTGATCACATTTATGTGAATTCATTTATATTTAAGCTATTTTACTTTCAATGTAAGTGATATTTTCATTTGAAAATTTGCTTGCAGGACACATATATAGTTTTCTACAGGTGTTGCCACATGGTACCTGTAACACTAGCTTCACCGTGTTCGTGCAGTTGGAGATTTTGGAGCATTTTTAATGACATCATCTGACCAATTGTATGGCTGCTGAGAGGTTACTGTACCAACACACAGTCCAACAGGTCTAAGCTCCAGTTTGGGTGTGCAGTGAGATTTGAGGATTATAATTGGATGTTACTGAGCACTGGTTAGCAGATATCTGTGTCTGTGTGATACACCTGTACAGTCTGAGGATGCACACTGATGATGATCATGCAGCGAAACTGTTAAAACCAGGGGTTCATAAACCAATGAGTAACATCACAGAGGTTGGGTCCATCTTTTATCTACAGTCTGCTCATCATGTCTGCTGTGAGGCAGGGTTTCTTAAGATTGCGCTGCTGCAATGTTTCCCAGCGTGGATTCTCTGGATAACAGAATGTGCTGATTGGTCCCCTGCTCTGATGAGCGAGTGTGTGTGTGTGGCTTTGGAGCAGCTGTTACTGATTGACTGAAGTGGATTTCGGTGCTTCTCTGGACTTTGATCATTTCTTTCGTTGAGTTACTCATTCTCTGATTTTTATGTAACAAGTTTACCTTCCTTCCTGCAGATCATTTTCACACTCCTTCAGTGGATTCCATTTAAACCTTCAGCAGCACTCTGTCTCTCTGCTCTGATCTCTGGGTCTTTTATTTTGAAGATTTCCCCCTCAGCATCACCTGTTGTTAGTCACTTAAGTCACAACATCACAAACTGGGTGTTTATAAACAAAAAAAACCCCTGTTAGTAAAAGTTGCTTGTGAAAATCTGATGATAGCAGCAGTATGGCGTTATTTTTGTGCCACTATTCTGAGCGCACGTAAAAACAAGTTGTTGCATTGCATTTTGAGGAGAGATTTATTTTGAGCAAAGAAAAACTAAATTTGAGTGAACAAAGAGAGACCAAAGAGAGACCAAAACAGGCAATCAGAAGTTTTTGCATCCAAGTGTGTGATTGGTTGGTTTTGTGGCACAAATATAACAGTCTATAGAAAGAGTTGAACGCACAGGGAGCAGAGATGTTCAGAGTGCAAGCGACACACCGCGAACAGGTCCGCAGAGATCTGAGCAAGAACAAATGCAAAAACTGAGCAAGAGGAGCTGTTACTGTGTGTTTCTATGGATAACAGCAAACACTGAAATACATTTTTTGCATGCAGCAATGAATTTTGTTCGCTCAAAATGTAGCTTTTCTTTGCTCAAGATAAATTTCTCCTCAAAATACAACACTTGTAAAGAAAATGTTTACATGCGCTCAAATTTTTTTTACGTGCACTCAGAATAGTGGCACAAAAATAACGCCATACAGCACCAGGTGGACAGAGGAACTGCAGACTGAAACAAACCCTGAAAACTACAAACTAATGACAGTGATGAGCTGGAGGAAACTGTATAACATCCTGCTTGTCCTGAGTATGGATACATGTGAGCCTCACAGCTTTTCTTTGTGTTTTGTTTTTTTACCACTTCATTTGTTGTCTTTGCTCTGTTTGAATAAAGCTTTAAATAGTTCTTTTGAAGAACATCTGAGAACAGCTAAGCGCAAATATGGTTATAGGTTACTGTTTGGCTTTGTGGACATTTCCACATATTTGACTTTTAAACCTGCTGATTAATTTAAGCTAACAGTGATGAGATGTGTTTAACCTTCAGTCAGTCACTGTGACTGCTGCTCCACACATCGTCCCGAAACACAATAATTTAATGCAACAGAGCAGGGTTACTGTGAAACAGCATATTTCAACCCAAACCATCTTTTCCTAAACCTAACTGAGCGCATTTTAGAGCCTTGAGCTGAACATGAACCACAGCATTGGTCAATGTGGGCCTCCTGGGAGGTTTTACTGCTGGACCTGATGAGTCACTCAGACACCATTGGACCAACAACAGTGTTACATGGGTTTAATAAGGCCGGTGACAGTTAGAGTCTGGCCATACATGGCCACCATCTCATGTCAGAGTCTTAATGATGTCATAGTGTGATGAGTTTTTCCTTCAGACCAAGTGCTGGTGTGGACTCTGAGGAGGAACCGGGTTTGAGTCCAGGCCTGTTGGGGGATGCCTCTGTTCAGACTCATAAACACCTCTGAAACACTGAGTCAGCAAATTCTCCCATGAGCCACTCTGATGTGATTGGGTAGGTTCAGTCCTCTTTCTAATATTTGGTGAACATTGGGCCTCGGAGAGGTGTGTTAGTGTCACCGGTGGACAATAAACTCACAAACCAAAGCGCTGGCTCTGTTTAAGGCAGCAGCCAATCCCCCTGAGAGGAAACACTCTTTCAATCGTGGTTTGGTGTGTGTTTTGACAGTGAATGACAGGCAGAAGATATGTGGTTGGTTACAAACAGGTGAAAATAGTTTTCCTTCAAAGATTACTGAGTAACAGCTAATCCCTGTTCCTGCCGGAGTGGTGAACTTTGACCTGAAAACAGCCTCAAAAATCATATTTGGTCCTAAGCTGAAATTTATGTGGAGTCTTTCCTGAGATATCAAAGGACTAAAATCTAATGAGGTCTGGAAACATCAAAAAACATTTAGACGTGATTGGACTGTCAGAACAAACTGACATTGAGGATTATGGGGCACTTTGAGTTTGCTGTGATCGGGTCAACAGTACGTACCTGTTTTTATCGGCGGGTAGAACTGACTGACAGCCTTCTGGGTCGCTTGTTCCACCAGAGGAGCTGGAGAGAACAGCTGCTGTTTGGCTTCCTCCCTGGACTCCCTCAGCTCCTGCTCCCTTCTCAGAGCCTCCTCAATTTCCTTCTCAATGAAGTCTGGGGCTCCTTTTCCTCTACACTGCAGGCCAGTGGACTTCAGGCTCTCCCTCCAGGACTGAAGGGCTGTTTCCTTTTGAGGTGTCAATGCTAGGGAGGCAGTAGAGGAAAAGGAAAACACTTGATCCTGGTCAAGACGTCTTCTGTCCTGGACCCCAGAGTCTATCTCGATCAAGGAAGAGGGAATCGGGCTCATTTGTTTTTGTTCTTCAGGGTGTCGATGAGGACAGCAAGGAGATGGAAAGACTTCACTTGTTTCAGACTCAGGCTGGCTGCTCTCCTCTGTCCACCTGTCCTTGTTTCGTGGCTCCGACTGACTTCTAGTCTCTTCGATATTCTGAGAAGGATTAAGCTTATTCTGGTTCTCGTTTTTGACCTCTCCCTGGACAATGAAGCTCACTCGAGTCTTCTCTTTCATTTTGATCGGTGCTGGTCGTGGTTGTAAGCGTTTGGTTTTGATCTCAACCATCTGTCCCCAACTGTCACTAAGCTTCAGGCCTCGAGAGCGGCGCAGGTTCTCCTCACGTTCCTGGATTAACCGAATCTCCCGTTCAATTGGGGTCTCACAAGCACTAGTGGACTTGATGGGTCTGTTCAGCTGCTGTACGTTATCGTTGAACACCCCATCATCGCTGACGTAGCCACCACCCACCTCTCCTGATAGCTCCTCCAGTCCAGAGTCCAGGTCATCAAACACGCTGCTTTGCCTGCTCAAACATTCCTCAGTCTGGAACACCGTCACCTTCTTCTGTCGATATGCTTCATCTTCTTCAGGTGCTTTAAACTGTGCTGCGTTGTTACTTGTCTCCACCTTCTTTGGTGTGGTTACATCAAGATCTGGCCACAAATATGACTTCAGGTGTGTTCTTGGGGACTTCAGAGGACTGGACGGAGCCTTCAGCTGGTCCTGCTCCAACTTCAGAAACTGTTGTCGGATTGTGTTGAAGTTGATCTGCTCCTTGTCGATGGTTCCGGGCTCAGCAGGACGAGGGGGTTCTGGTCTGGAACTGACTGGCTTGTAGCTTAAACTGAAACCTTCTATCAGTTTGTTTGTAGACTGGCTCAGGTCCTCCTGGGAGCTCAGCTGGTCCTGAAACCCAGCACTCTTCTTTGGAGCTTGGGTACGAATGATCTCTTTGCGAAGCTCCTTCTCCTCTTCCTCACCAACCACTCTGATTCCATTGTTTGCATCAACTTTGTACTGCAGGTCTCCGTTGCCCTCTGAGAATAGACTCTCGGGTTTCTTGCTGCTTGTGTAGGTCTGTAGTTTGAAGCCCTTCTCTTGCTTCAGGGTGGCCAGCATAGCCTGGCGCTGGGGTGAGACCATCCAAGCTTCATTATGCTCAGCCTTGGGGCTTCCTGGATCTTCCACAAAGGAGTAAAACCCACAATGAGAGCCTGAGCTGCTGCCAGGACTGCTGGGACTGCTGGGTTGCCACTCGTCACTGGAGTTTCCCCCATCAGGCGACACAGCAATCTGCCGGGCCTGAACCACAACATCCTGAGACTCGTCGCCCTGCTGGGAGGAGACGACTACGCAAGGCTGACTGTGTGAAACTGAGATGCTCCTAAAGGCGGTGTCCAGGTCATTTGGACCTGGGGCTGGTACAGCAATGGTGCGTAGGTCTGATGGTTGGAGCGTGGGGGACAGAGGCTTTAAAACCCAATTCTTTGGAGTGCTGTCCATGGCTGCAGGTGGTGTGGCAGAACCAGTGGGTGACAGAGGTTCTGACAGATGGTGATGAACAGAACTCGACTGAGAAGATGGAAAAGTCAAAACATCCTGATGGTTGCCCGCAGAAAGTCTCTGAAACAACAGGGAGGAAAGAATGGTTACTGTGGCAACCACAGAGGACAGCAATAGGGATAGGACAGTTTCTCTAGTAACAGGAATCAATTTGGAGGGCTGATTGGTTGCATTGGAAACATCCAGTTCAACTCAGTTTTATCTATATAGTGCCAAAGCACAACAATGGTTTCCTCAGTGCACTTTACGTTGTAAAGTACAGACCCTGCACTGAACATAAGGGTTGAAAAGACTCAGATCCATCCAAACATGGAGCCGGAAGCTGAGACAGGAGGTCACAGCAGACCGGTTATCATCGGGCAAGTGGGTGGAGCTGCTGTGACCACTTAAAGAAGTTTATCAAATCCATAAACTTCAGAGCAAACCCTGAGCTTTGGGGCCACAGGGACTCATTGACCTCATCATTAGGAATGTGTTTTATATGAACGTTGTCACTAAACACGAGACACAGACAGGAAATGAGGAGAAGCAGAACCGATCCACTAATCATTTCCTCTACTTTTCTCTGTACATTCACTAAGTGTGCCGGATTTATCCAGCTGGGGGGCTGGTTCAGGGCCCCGGGGCACGTGTTTGACTGTAGCATGTCTGACCTGAACTGGAATCAGCAGCTGAGTTTTTATGGAGGAAATTTAACTGAATCCAAGGAATGGTAGATCAATGATAACGTTTACAGCGACTCTCGTAAAAGACTGACTGAAGTCATATGACCGTTTATGGGAAGGCAGCTCATCTGTGGTCATGAACTCTAATAATTAATCCACCATAAAACGGATAAAGTTCAGAGTTGCTCGGATAAAGGTGGAGGTCAGAGGGTTATAAACCTGCAGCAGTTCAAAGTTCAAAAGCTGACAAAGTTGTAAAAAGGCCTGTTAGCACGGAGAACTGCGGCTCAGAGCCGTCACCAATCAGCTGAGCATGCCAGGGTTACAGATACACACACACACACACACACCTGAGTGCAGGACATCAGGTCAGGTGTGCTCCTCACCTGTCTGTGTCTTTGAGCTGAGTCAGGACTCAGACCGGCAGTGATGGCCATCTATAATCTTTAGTCCGTGCAGGCTGGAAATGCTATGAGGTGCTCAGAGACAACATTTCTTCTTATTCTTTGTCATTCCAGCATTTCCTGCTGTCAGGGACTCTTTATGCTACCGTCTCCTCACACCTGAGTGCCCCTGAAAGAGCTTCAGAAATCACTTTAGCACTCAGTAGCTGCTCTGATACCCCTGTGGGCAGTTATGTGGGCATCTGCGAACTTTTACTCCGTCACGCCACAGGAACAGACCGGCCTTTCAGAGGGCCTCTTCTGGTCCCCAGGCCTGTTATTTTATTCCCTGGTATAAAGTCTTCTTTCACCTGTTTGTGCAGAAATTCACCAGCCAAACACGAGCCGCAGATGACACTCGACTGATTCCTGGAGTGTTCCAGACAGCGGCGGCCTCAGAGCACCCTCCTGTCTGAGCATGCCTGATAAGCAGCTCCTCCTGCAGACAAGCCGCTGCTGTCACCTGATAACATGTCCAACTGTTTGGAGACCACCCAGAGACCCAGAAACTGATCCTCGGGGGGCAGGGCTGTAAAACTTTGTGTTTTGGGTGCTTTCAAGAAGTAACCAAGTCCTGGTCATGTGACAATCAATAACTAATAATAAGGCAGCAAGGTGTGAAGGAGTATACTCTCCTTCGCACCTTGGATTCAGAAAAATGGTGCTCCCAGTCTCATCACTAGTCAATGATTATAAATATCATTAATTAAAGATGTTATTGATTACAGTTGTTACTGATTAAAGGTCTGATTGATCATGTAAAGGTAGATCTGAGCTGATTTCTTACCTCTGATCAGTTTTCTGCCTGCTGCACAGCCTGAAGAACAACTGACTGATGTGCCAAAGGTCACTGAATGCCCACTCACAGGCCCCGCCCCTAAAGCAACGCCCCACCCCCAGAGACCAGTCTTTAATGATATTCCTAACAGGCAGTGGCAGCCTGTGAGTGTTTTATGGTAAGACGCAGAAGGACAGGAGAGTGGCCTCAGCTCGTGATCCACGCTGGATCATCAAACTGAAGTTTCACTCCTGCTCGTAAGAGCACTCCCTGCTGCCCCCCTCAGCTGAACTGCAGCTTCTGTAACACAACAGCAAGTAATGCAATCACACCACTCTGACCTCTGACCCTGGGGACAGAAAGTGCGTGTCTCACCTTCGTCTCCTGGTCCAGACTGTGACACAGAACCACCCAGGGAGGCGTGTACCTGAACATCCTGCCGGTCTGAACTGGATCTGACCAGTTCTGGTTTTGGATGATGATGTTAGTCAGACTCACCTGGTCAGCAGGAACCAATCACCACAAGCCCTGAAGCAACAGTAATATAAATAGGAAGTTACTAAGGAACTGTACCTTTTCAAAATAAAGCAATCAGAAAATTATGGATTTGTTTATGTTCTTAATTGCAAAAATATAAAAATATAAGAAACAGATTTGTCAAACTGATCATCCATTTTGTTTTGTGGTGATAAATCTGTAGATGTTGCTGTACTAACTGCTTAGATACCAGGTTATTTTATATAGTTTTAAATTATAATTGGCCTATATGATTTTTGTTCTTGTCCATAAGCGTATGACTACATGTCCAGTCTAATCGGTCTAATTATGGCTGATTTTATTCTTTTCTTTGTTCAGACTGTTCTGAATAATCATTCATATATTTGCTGTAATGTGTGGGGGTCTTTGCCTTTTGATGACATCACCCTGCAGGTGTTACACAGCTTCCCTCAGGTGTTGATTGATTTAAACCTTGGGATGGTTTGTAATCCTGATGCTTACTCGAGTTTTATTTTTTTGAAATGTAAAAAATGTTTCTCAAATTTTACTAATACCAATATTTTTAACTTATAAAGGCACCTTATGAAAGTGAGAGCAGTGTTTCATGACTCATGAGATTAATCATCATCAATTTCACTGTAATTTTTCTTTTCCACAATAATTAGTTAACACAATAAAACACACCTTTCAGCGTTTCATGCATTTTTAAACTGTGTTTGTTGAGACCTGGAATGTCTTTAAGGCACTTTGGATCACCACCTGTACTTTAAATGTGCTATAGGCTGTAAATAAAATAAATGTGAAGGTTCAGCTGTTTATCATAGTGCATGTTTGAAGTATATCTTCTCATTTCCAAAAATGAGAAATGTGAATGGGAGGCAGAGGACAGGACTAAAGATGCACCTGTGTGGCACACCTGTGCTCAGGATTAGGGTTAATAAGGTGTGGCCTCCCATCCTGGCATTCTGGGCCTATCTATGATCCATGTGCTCAGTAAAGAGTTCAAGCGGTCACTTCATTAACCAGTTTGTTGGGCAATATGGTGCTGAACACAGAGCTCAAATCAACAAGCAGCATCCGTACAGGTGTGCTGATGAAGGTGTGTAAAGGACTGCGTCTTGTCTCTCACAGATGTTTTGTAGACCAGCTGGACAACAGTTGTTTGGACAGGTGACAGCTGGTGAGCTGGCACAATGATGGCTGACTTGAGGTTTTCAAACCAGACATAACAGCAAAAACAACAGCAGCAGCTTGAAGACAGCTGGACGCAATCGGTCATGTGATCAGCTGGGCAGTCAATAAGAAGCTGCAGTATTTATCAGATGTTAAAATCCGTGTTCATTACTAAGACACACAGAGATTAACTCAGAACTAAAAAACATGTTTCTGTTCTTTCTTCTTGACAGGAAATTGTAAACATACGAGTGATATCATGAGTAAATATCATTTGTTTGTTTTCTGTTTGTGTAAACAGCTTTAAACAGTCATATTGTCTGACTGCCAGAGGAGGGCGGGCTAATACTATTTACATTTCACAACATCATCAAACCCGCTAATATATTAAACCCGTCATCAGTCACAAGATTAGAGATTGGACACACAGGTGGATGATGTCATCATGATGTCACACAAGTAAGAATAAAGAGAGGAAAACAGAATGTGGACTCACCCTGCAGTCGCCGACAGACAACTGATCCACGCCAACGCTGTGTGTGTGTGTGTGTGTGTGTGTGTGTGTGTGTGTGTGTGTGTGTGTGTGTGTGCTGGTCTCTATGGCTCTGTGAGGACATGCCGCCTGGTCCTTACTTCATGTCAGACCTTCAGAGGACTGAGTTCAGGATCAGGCTTAGGTTTAGGTTTGGGCTCAGGTTCCAGGTGGTTTATTCTTCGAGTCTGTTTAATATTCAGAGTTTGGAGGTTTTTCAGTCATTCAATTTTAACATCAGGAGCTTCTGAATAAGTTCTGCTCAGATCAAAAAGTTTGAAAATAAAAAGCAGGTTGTGTTGTTTTTACTGTGAATCAGAAGTGTAACAGGAGCTCTAACGATGTGTTCAGCTGCGATTCCCAGACAAAAGCTGACTTTTGTCTGGGAAGAAACAGACATAGATGAGATAAGGAGCTTCTACTGTCATAATTCATCCACATCAGTCACACTTCAAGATGCAGCTGGTATCAGAACAAGTCAATGTTTGTTTGTTTTAAATTATTATTCTGAAGATAAATCGGCCTCTTTATAAAATGGAGGGACCCAACTGTCATATCTACAGATCTGCCGCCTCTCTCCACAGAAAGACACAGTAACAGTAGTCACAACAACACAAACAGGCAAAGCTTAGTCATTTATGTACTTATATTCACAGAGTCTAGATGGCGAGTTTTCAATAACCTAGATGGCGAGGTTATTGAAACCTCGCCATCTAGACTCTCACAGAGAAGATCAGCTGATGAATTTCACAGATTTCCTGAACTTTTTATTTTATTTGTTCAAGTTTGTTGGATATTCTTTATTTAACCAGTTCTTAGCCATTGCTTCCTCACTTGCAGGTTGTATTTTTAAGAAGTATTGATCTTGTTTTTTGAGTTCATTCGAGTGGCAATATAAAAAAGACTAAACCTGTGCTGATTATTGAAATCATCAGTGTTGCCAAGAAGAACCCACAGGACAGTTCCAGAAAGCATGAAATTCAACAGCAAACATGTTCTCTAACAGTGTCCAGACTCAGGTATTTCATGCTGTTTTATTCTTACAGTAATTAAAAATCCGAAAGAGTCACGTTTGTTAACAAAGACCCCAAATGCAGACACACGGTAAGCCACAATAAACCAATCAGGATGCAAGAGTGGACGACAGTATAACAAGGCGACGAGGACACACAAATTGAGGGTATAAATACAGGCAGAGGTATTCAGGGAAAGTAAAACTGAATACTACACTCAACAAAAATATAAACGCAACACCTTTGTTACTGCTCCCATTCCCCATGGGATGGACGTAGAGACCTAAAATTCATTCCAGATACACAATATAACCATCCCTCCCAAACAGTGGTCACAAATCAGTCCAAATGTGTGGTAGTGGGCACATCTGCTATATTGAGATAATCCATCCCACCTCACAGGTGTGCCACATCAGGATGCTGATCTGACATCATGAGTAGTGCACAGGTGTACCTCAGACTGCCCACAACAAAAGGCCACCCTGGAATGTGCAGTTTTTTGCGCTATTGGGGGTCTGGGGACCCAGAACCGGTCAGGATCTGGTGTGACCACCATTTGCCTCATGCAGTGCAACACATTGTCGCATGGAGTCTATCAGATTGTCAATTGTGGCCTGTGGAATGTTGGTCCACTCCACTTTAATGGCTGTGCGAGGTTGTTGGATATTCGTGGGAACTGGTACACGCTGTCGTATACGCCGGTCAAGCACATCCCGAACATGCTCAATGGGTGACATGTCCGGTGAGTATGCTGGCCATGCAAGAACTGGGACATTCTCAGCTGCCATCTGCCCTGAACAATGTGAACCATGATTCATCCGTGAAGCGCACACCTCTCCAACGTGCCAGACGCCATCGAATGTGAGCATTTGCCCACACAAGTCTGTTATGGCAACGAGCTGGAGTCAGGTCAAGACCCCGATGAGGACGACGGGCATGCAGTTGAGCGTCCCTGAGACGGTTTCTGACAGTTTGTGCAGAAATTGTTTGGTTGTGCAAACCAATTGTTCCAGCAGCTGTCTGGGTGGCTGGTCTCAGACGATCTTGGAGGTGAACCTGCTGGATGTGGAGGTCCTGGGCTGGTGTGGTTACACGAGGTCTGCGGTTGTGAGGCCGGTTGGATGTGCTGCCATATTCTCGGAAACGCCTGTGGAGACGGCTTATGGTTGAGAAATGAACATTCAATGCACGGGCGACAGATCTGGTTGACATTCCTGCTGTCAGCATGCCAATTGCACGCTCCCTCATTGCTTGTGGCATCTGTGGCATTTTGCTGTGAGACAAAACTGCACATTCCAGGGTGGCCTTTTGTTGTGGGCAGTCTGAGGTACACCTGTGCACTACTCATGATGTCAGATCAGCATCCTGATGTGGCACACCTGTGAGGTGGGATGGATTATCTCAATATAGCAGATGTGCCCACTACCACACATTTGGACTGATTTGTGACCACTGTTTGGGAGGGATGGTTATATTGTGTATCTGGAATGAATTTTAGGTCTCTACGTCCATCCCATGGGGAATGGGAGCAGTAACAAAGGTGTTGCGTTTATATTTTTGTTGAGTGTAGATACACGTGAGGTTATGGTTAAATCAGCTGTAGAGAAATATTAGCCTTATCCTCCCTCGGGGATATTCTCCCTGACTGCACAGTTCAAAGAATAAAGTTTTAATTGTGCAGGAACTGTATTTGTGTGTTTGCATTCACATGAACCAGTTTAAAACGGTCCCGGCAACGCAGTGTGTCCCAGGACCTCACTCAGCCACAAAAACCAACGTGTGTGTGTTTCAGTGTTGCTGAGCAGCAGAATTTATCAGGAATGCTGCTGACCAACAGAAACACACACACAGAGTGAACACATGGAATTTGGAGTTATTTTACTTTGTTTTTTGTGAGTTTTTTTGGTTTTAAATCTTTCCTTAAAGTCAGGTTTGTAGTTGTCATTGTCTGAAAATTAGTGTTTAATCAGTTAGTTTAAGCGGTTCATCACAATAACAATAAAATACCAATTCAGACACTTGGGCTGCCACACACGTTCGACTAAATACAGTGAAACTGAAGAGACTGTCGGTCCATAAAGTCTGACCCTATCCTGCACATTCTTAAAGTGCATCTTTAAAAAAATAATTTCTGTTATTTGGCCTTAAATAACAGAAACGCAGAGTCACAGTTGCTGCTATATATTGTCCCTGATATTTGTGTGTGTGTGTGTGCAGCCCGCATGCACAGGGTCAAACTTCACTTGTGAACTAATCAGGGAATAACGGGGTGAATACACAACCTGCTTCACTGTCAGCAGGTACTGTCTCCTGCAGTGGGCGACACTGAGCCTCATTCTGCAGGTTACTAAGACAACAGCAGGAGGCTGCAGAGCATGCAGACGCTGCTGAGTGAAATAAATCCCTCCATTCTCCATCTGAGCTTGTTTTTATCTTCCTCAGAGTCTCAAACACAGCACTCTGCTGGTAAACCTCTGTGAAGTCACAGACCCACCAAGACAAACCCTCGATCTTCCACTCAGCTCCAGAAATGCTCAAAAGATCAAATAAAAACAGAAAAAGCAGCAACGTGTCAATCACTGTTCAACCCTGCCCTAAATCCTTCCTGCTTCCTGCTCCTCTCTGACCTTAATGGGAACATTATCTCCAAAACAAACATGTTTTATTTAGTCCTGAGACCATAAGCTCACCAGGAAAGAGTTCACTGAGCTCAAAGATCATCTGATGAGGAGACTCATTTCCTCACAGACTTCTATCCAATCAGAGCAGAGTCGTCACCCCCAGGACATCAGACAGACCCACACTCTGTGTGTGAAACATGACGACCTGATGAATTTCAGACACAAACTGATGATCTGATAATGTTTCAATACTGATTTGTAGGAGCTGCTGCTCAGCAGATATGAACCTGGTTTTAACCCTGTTTCAAGAGCTTTCTCTATCAGACATTGCATCGCTGAAATCATGATCAGCTGTGAGGAGTCTGAAGAAAGAATGAGTTGAACTTCTCAGGTCAAGTGGCTTTATTGTCATTCCCACCATGTGCAGTGGTACAGTACACAGTGAAAGGAGACAACATTCTTCCAAGACCATGGTGCTACGTATAACAGACACTCAACACAGGACTAGATAAAGTGCAAGTGAGCAAAAAAAAAAAAAACTAAACAAAGACAGAAACTATACAGACACAGCAGTGCAATACAAAAGTGCAACAATGAAAGTGGGTTGTGCAAAAGCTAACTTGATGTATTAAGGGGTGCGTGTGTGTGTGTATGAGATTGTGCAAATAAGTGTTTGTGTAGCTGACATATAGTCACAGTGAACTTTTTTCAAACTGCATTGTATATATTTGATTTTTTATTACTTAAATGGAATTTTTGTAATACTAAGGTTCCACTGTTGTAGTGGGACGTTAATCACTGGGACACTGCTAGGAAACATGTTGCATGTGTGGTGGGTTCCCAGCCAGAGTCGCATGGACTCCACACTGGTAAGGCACATTCTCTGTAGCTTGTCTCCCTGTACTAAATTAAGTTTGGTTTATTTTGCTTTACTAAGTATTAGTTCTTAGGGCTAAAAGTCCCCAAAGTACCAAAGTGATGGAAACTGCCTTTTATCATTATACCACCTATTTATGTGTTTTTCACTTGTGCTAAACAGAGAGGTCTGCTGCTGCATTTTGCCTTTTAGATATATGTAAATAGCTTTTCCCTCCAAGCAGTCCGGCTCCCGAGGACCACACTGCCCTCCTCCACACTGGACTCTCTTCTCCACACACTTCTTGGACTACATAACACTGTCCTCTCACTCCCGATACTTGCACTCTGCTGTATTGCACTGTTTGACTCTGTCTGTGTACTATTGTACTAATTTATTCTTGTTCTTTTCTGTTCTTATTCTATTTCTATTCAAGTACAACACTGTTGTACTTATTATTAGTTTATCTTATTCCTGTATAGTTGTGTATATATGTATATTTTATTTTTTTCCAGTTTATTTTTCCAGTTTGCACCTTTGATCTAGGAGGACGCTATTTTGTCCCACTGTGTACTTGAGTTTATATTGTTGGGTTGACAATAAAACTCTGCTTGACTTGACTTAAATGTTAGTCATGTACAGATTTTGTTTTATGTGTATAATGAGTTTGTCATATAAGGCTGCACGTTAAATAGTATTTTCAGTTGTGTTGGGAAAATTTACTTTTGTATGAATATGTGTTTTGTAATTGATCCATCTTAGTGGGGATTTAAATATTATAAGTGATTATCAGTAGTTTATTTTGAAGTATACTTTGCTTCATATTTGTCTCAGTTTTACCCCGCTATTACACTTGATTTTGAAGTGGCTGTTGAGAGAAACCATTGTTTTGATATTTTTATGTTTTTTAAATATTGTGGGCCAAAGTTGCATGGACTCCACATTGGGATTAAGAAACACCTGCTGCTGTGAAAATGCTTAGAAAATAAAGCCAGTTTTGCAACCAGTCCCTGTTTGTCATCATAAAACAGTCTACCATTTGAAATCTGCTACACTTGGCAATGACGTGTATGAGGGTGTGTGTGGCAGTCCGATCGCTGAGCTGTGAGAGTTGGATCCTCTTGGCGAGCGTCGCTGACTCAGCGGGTGGATCAAAAAACAGCTGATGGGATTGTGAGTGCTGTTTGATGGAGCCCAGTGTGAGTGAATCCTCTGAGGTTATGTCAGACTTTCAATGCAGCACGCTTCAAAAGATTTCCACAGAGACGAAGATCAGCGAATGCTTTTCAAACTTTCAGAGGTCAAAGAAGCAATCAACAATTAAAACGTTTAATTTTATTCAATAAAGACGACAGCAGCTTCGAGTTCTCATCTGTTTCCTGTAAAGATCATTGGTTTGAGCAGTGCTGGATTAAAACCTCTGATCACACAGAGCCATGCACGAGTCTGCAGGATAAGACCTCATTCAAGGACAGGTGAACAGACCTGTCAGGTATAAGACTCCAAACATGCATTTCTGTATTAAACCTTCATGTAGCTGTTTATCAGATTTATAGTGTACACATTAATTAATGTTATAGTTTGCACAATCTTTTACTCTGCCCATTTTTATTGTCTTTGTTTGTTTTCACTGCTGTATATGTAACATTTTACACAGTTTTCAGTGCCCGTGGCACTTTTACTGTGTTTATTTATTGTAGACTGGACCGTCTTCATCCTACTGCTCGAACACAATCATTTCCCTTGAGGGATAGAGAGGTACTTGTTGGTCCATATAGAAGGTGGAGGTGAAGAATTTAGGCTGCGGCACAAAAGCAGACTAGTTTCTGCTCATTTTATTTCTTCTTTTAAAAACTCAGACAGCTTCTAATAAATATAATAATACATTCACAGAAAGGAGGGGGAGGAGCTACAAACATCCTGGCACAGCGAAGGCGGAGGCTAACACTGAGGCTATGCTAACACTGAGACATGTAAGTACAGACGTGCAGAGTAAAAAAGTAAAAAGGCTTCAAGAAAATAGAAAAAGTAAAGAGAGGCTTTATACACCTGAAGGAAAAAACAGGAAGTGATGTTGGGAGGGCTGTGAGCAATGGGAGGAGTTTTCAGTCCTTTTTATTTTTGTATTTGCGTGCTACGTTTCAAGGCGGCACCCCCCCCACAGGTCACCAGGTCACATGATGCTACAGCACTTACACGGCTTCTTCTCCTTCTCCTTCTCCTTCCCTGCCATCTCCCCATTGCTTGCCACTGGTATCGCCATTGGAGGTTTAGTGGAGGTTGGTGGGGCCTTGGAGGTGGGCAGAGGTGGATCCGCCTCCTTTTCTCCCCCTGATGTCTTCCCGTTTGGGTCATCAATGTGCACCAGCTCGGCCTTCACCGTGCCCTGCAGCCCCAGCACCTTCTTGGTCTCGTCTTCATCCTCTACGCTCTGGTATCCCATGAACACCATGGTAACCGGGTTCTCAGTGCTCGCCTCAGCCACGCTCGGCTCACCACCCACTTCGGCCTCTAGCCCTGTGATCTCCACTGGAACCTGAGGTAGCGGCGACTTGGACCGCATCAGCTCCAACTCCTCCCGAACCTCTGCTGTCGGGAGGGATGTCACAGTGGTGACAGTCTGTGACATCATCGACGCCTCATCAGCTTTGTGGATGAGCTCTTCAACCTCAGAGGAGCTGAGCAGGTGGATATCCTCACCATTCAGCTCATGGACCACTGGGAGACAGGAAGACACAGGTGAGGGTCAGAGTGCGACACCTGAATGCTCTCCAGCTGAAGGACCAATAAAGATTCACTGAGTGATGTCACAGAGTACACCTGTGCATCAGCTTCCTTCAGCTGGAGCTGAAAGTGATGAGGTGTGACCACCTGACTGTCAGGTGAGTGTTGATCATGCAGGCAGGCTGAGGCCGCTGTGGCTTTAGGAGAAGGAAAACTGCTGCTGTGAAAACCTGCAAACCTCCAGCAGGAGGCGCTGCAACAACCAGACACATGGATCTGCTCCTCACACTGTGCTATAAAATGTCCACTGCAGGAACTCAGCAGGAATGACCCTCAGATCTGAAACTCTCAGGATACAACAGCCTGTCACAGGTGTGTAACGCAGGTGTCTAATGCTATGAAAATACCTGGTGGAACATCTGGCAGGTAATGAGTGGAGTTCAGAGGTCCTCCCAGATATGCTGAGAGTTTCTGAAGTGAAGATGTGGAGGTGTTCAGCAAAGACTGTGAGGGCAAATAGTTCAATAATTTAAGAAAAAAAGAATGAGTGATTCATCATCTACAGTCCATGAGCTTGTGAAGAGATTCAGATAAATGCGCGCACAGCAGAGCTTAAATCAGCCCTTTGAGAGTCAGTTATTGCATCAGCAGGTCCCTTCTCTTAAAGCCGGCTTTGTTTTTATTTTTTTTTTCTTGTTTACTTGCTAACATCACCTTTCTGCTCATCTTCATAAACTTTGACCCCTTGGTCAGAGAGGTCAACAGGAAGTTTGGTGTTACTGGACAGAACCCTGGTTTCCCCCGTCACTCTGTCCCGCTCTACTTTAATCTCCACCGAGTACATCGCTGGATTGGGAGGGGTTAGAAGGGATCACAGGGTCAGAGGGGGTCAACACAACAGACACAATGAGCTGCTGCGGATCTAAAGATAAAGGCAGCAGGCAGAAGGTTAGATCACAGAAGAGAAGAGTCAGGACAGAGAAAGCAGCAGGTCATAAACAAGCACCCCAGGTGAGGGTAACCTTCCAATAGCAAAGGTACAGCTCTATTAGTGTGACATGACATAACCATGCAGAACAAAGAAGGGTCTGATGACCAGAAGGAATATGTGAGGCTCTGCTCGCATCATCCAGACTGACTTTGGTACAGTGTGTATATCCTCTCCTGCTGCCTCAAATAACTGAACTACCAAAACATTTCAGCTGCAAACAACCACAACTCAGATAAGTCCCAAGGATCAGATACATTAAATGGACACCAGCACCCACACATTACCCTGAGAGGAGCTGCTCAGCCATGAAGCTCCTGGTGCACAGTGTCTGCTGATGTTAATGCCAGGGATGGATGGATGAATGAATGGATGAATAGATGGATAAATGGGAGAATAGATGGATGAATGGATGATGGATGGATGGATGGATGGAAGGACGGATGGATTGATTGATGAATGGATAAACAGATGGATAAATGGGAGAATAGATGGATGAATGGATGGATGGATGGATGGGAGAATAGACTAATGGATGGACGGACGGACGGATGGATGGATTGATAAATGGGAGAACAGATTGTTAGGCGGATGGTAGAATTCTCCTGAACGGACTTTTGTAACAGTAGCGTCCTGTTAGCACCACATTGGAATTGCTGAGCTTTTCAAACTCTGTCTCTCATACAGATAAAGGCAGGTCACAGGTGCTGGATTAATACACCCGTGGCACTGATTCACAGATTAACAGGTGTAACTCAGGACTTTTGTCCATAAGTGTACATGGGAGACGTTTTCCATCAGATGTTGAGGGACACTGTGAGGAGGTGGAGGAAGAGGGCCTTGGATGCAGCTCAGGTTATTGCAAGAGTTTATTCCTGAAACTTGAAATCTGTGACCAGAAGCAGAGTTGCTGACGTTCGTACGGTCAGAGTCTGCCTCCTCTGTTGCTGCGTTGTTTGAGTACATGTGCATCACTCTGATTTTCTCTCTGCATGTTGAGTGAGGCTGCATGTATTTATTAAAGTCAAGGGAAAGAATGTGAAAGCTCTACTGATGTTTCTAATCTAACATGCTTCGAGCTTCACTTAACATGTGCATGTTGACAGTTGCTGTGAGGACTCGACCTTCAGGATGGACTGAGTGCTGACACAGCGGTCACACTCTGGCTCCGACATCGTCTTTTTCCAAATGCCTTCACATCTCCCGTGGAAACCCCTGCAGTCATGCCAGGGGTAGATTCAGACCTGCTTCTGTTCAGCCTTAAATACCAGCAAAGTGTCAGGAAACTCCCACAGCTTCATACATTCATTTAGCCCATGATTCATTTCAATAGCCTCCCACAGATCCTACACTATGAGGGAAACAACACAATAACACACACACACACCCATCACACCAGCCAACACACAAATTCACTGTTAACGTGACCCTAAAACGGACTTACAGATAGAAACAGGAAGGCAGCTGTTAGAGACACATTAAGGTCGATGTCCCCTCTCCTCCCACGTGTCTACACTCTATGACCTCTGACCTTACACATTTGCAGGGTGAATGATAACAGACTCATTAAAATCACTGAAAGCTGCGATTAATCATATTTTACTGATTCTTCGAACCTCATCACGGAGAACCAAACGCAAACTCTTAAAGTCAGGAAACAACATGACTGATCTCATCTGTACTTTATTCTTTTACTGGCTTTATTAGACAGTGCATCAAAGACAGACAGGAAAGCAGGGGAAGACCTGCGTCAACCCTCCGGCTGCTCTCAGCCATAGGGCCTATGGCCATCTCCTTCTCCCAGTGAGCTAATCTTTAGCCATGGAAATATTCTGGATCTATTTCCTGACTTGGTGACTTCCAGGTGAGCTTCATGTCCCACCTGAGGAAAACTAGCTCAGTTCACCAGTTTAAGACGACCCCCGTCAGGTCGGTGCAGAGTGGGTGTGGTCACTTCTGACTCACCTTTCTTCATCTCCTCGGTCGCCTCTCTGGGTTTGTTCAGTCGAGGACTTTTGTTAACTTTGAACTCTGCAGGGGCTTGTGGGTAAAAATGGGCCAGGCACAAAGACAGAGCAGAGAAAGAACTAACAGTGAGGTTATCACAACAACTTACCGTAATGTAACTGTAATCTGATTACTGAGATCTGATTACAGTTATAGCACAGTCTCACCTTGGATCACCTGAGTTGCCAGGGGAGCCCTGTCCTGCTGATGCCTTTCGCGATCTTTGACCTCTACAGCTGATCAGAGACAAACGTGAGACAAAGGCTTCACGAATAAAAACAGACAGAGAAATTTAGAAATTTACCTGAAGCTGGTCTTGATGACACCTGGAGGCACAAACAGAGAAAGGAAGTTTATCTTCACAATAAGAGTCTTAACAGGAATCCTCCATCAATAAGTAGAAGGAAACGGGAAACAGAAACATGAAAAAACCTCCAAAGTAAGCCAGTCCTGCCAGTGAACCCCCCTCCCAACATCCTCACCCATGTAATCCAACCTAATTTGTTTCAAATGATCTATTAACCCTATGAGGACAGCAGAAAAGCTGATTTTAGAAAGGAAAAAAAGTGATATTAGAAAACGTTTGTGTGTGCGTGCGTGCATGTACACTCACTTTAATGTTAGTTATGGTCTGACAGACAGATCCAGTCTCAAGGCCGACAAGTTCCTGCTGCAGCCTACAGCACACACACACACACACACACACAGTTGATGGTTTTAATCCCACAGTGAATAAGGCCACCCTTCCTGGATGTTCGGGCTCGGCGGCTCAGACCTGTCGATGGTCTCCTCCAGGCTCCGGGTCCGGGCCTCGTCCTGCTCCAGCTGTCTACAGACTTCGTTCTGCTCGGGTCCAGCAGATGCTCCCTCCAGGAGCCAGCGGTCCCTCAGAGCCTTTGACTGAAACACAGGTCACATAGATGACAGTTTCCTTCTAACACGTGAGGAGGCACGTATCAAATTCATATTTGTTCATGAAAGTTTATGAAAAGAAGAGCTGCAGAAACATGTGCTTGAAGTTCACTCGTGATCTGCTCACTATGAAGCCCACCACCGAAGCCGTCGTCATTCCTTCATCATTTCTTTATAAAGGAGGCAGGTTGAAGGTGTGCAGGTGAGTCCAGCTGTTCGATTGGAAGCTGTGAGTGAGACAGGAAGTCCTCTGACTGCAAACAGCTGACAGATCATCAGGAGAGGACAGACTGGCACTCTGATCCACTCAGAAAACAATTAACATAAAGCCCTGAAAGTCCACAGGAGACACCTGGGGATCCTGTCCTTCATCAAAGCTTCCAGCTAAGTGAGGAAGACTCTCCAGCAGGAAGATGTGTCATCATCCACAGAGCATGAAGAGAATAATCAAAGCAGATCAGAGGGTTCAAAGCATCTGTCAGCCTCGGGAATAGAAAGCTTCAACCTTAAAAAGTGTCAGAAAGGCTGAGCAGCTCCAGACTAAACAAATCAGCCAGCAAGATGAAGATCAGAGCAGCACGAGGAAGGAAACCTGGACATCAGACTTCACAGTCTGCAAAAAAATCCCCATGCACGGTTAAAACTAAACCAGCGGGTTCATCAGAGCTTTTTACATATATAACCTGAACTCTGGTCTCATTCTGAGCGTCTCATTAAACCCTTGCAGCTGACAGCAGCAGACACTCAGCTGCACGGCTCTGAGTGGGATTCGTCCTCGCCGGGTCGTCTTTCAAACTCTCAACGATTTTAATCAGCACCTTAAAAAGCTGCTCGTTTCACACACATGCTGGCAGAAAAAAAATCTTTATCCATTTATTGTTTTGACGTTTCGGCTACACAACACTACAAATTGGAGAGCATCAGCATCATGTCCTCAAAGGAGAAAACAGTGAAAATGGAATAAAATCATTTTAGTATCTAATGATTGAAAGCAGGCGTGCACAGACAGCAATGGGTGCTCATGGACCAACGTCCATCAGGAGGACGTCTGAGTGTCCCTTTAATAAACGCGTGAAGCCTGAATGGATCCTTTTAGTTGAATAAAATTATCTGGATGAGCTCGGGCTCTCTGAACTCACGGCCTCCTCCTCATCGGGAAAACAGCTGCTATTTCACATGGCCCTGGCAGTCCTGTCCTACCTGCGTGCTGTTTGGCTGATCTCAGATATTTTTACCTTGCAGCTGTTCTCAGTTTGTGCCTCTTGAATCTCTGAATACCTGGAAGACTCGACACACAGTGAGCCAGCAGGAGTAGGAGCCAGAGAGAGTTACTCTTTATTTTTTCTGGTGAAAGACAAACTGATAAGAGTCATTAATGAAATATGATCTCATATCAAAGATCAATAATAGATGAGAGAATTTACTGGCAGAAATAAATTTTCCACAGCACTTCAGTCTGGAATATACAACATCTGAACGACAGGTTTCTGTCGTTGTTCTGAGAACACAACAGAGAGCCGCCTATCAGAATAAAACAGGAAATGACCACTGACCATCTGAAAGAAGGACATGAATAAAAACATCAGTGTGAAAGAGCTGGACTCCACAGAGCATTCAGGTTTTGGTTTCGTTTATTTAGTGCACAAAAATGTTTCTTTGTGGTTTGGCATCAATGTCAGCTTTGTAGCCAACTCCACACCGACTCGTCTCAGGTCCCGGCGTGGGACCTGAGGGAGGGAGGGAAACCTCGTTAACACAATCATCTCCACCTGCCCATCAGACTTCATGGCACAGCCCCTTGAGTGCACTGCAACACCCCTCCACTGCAGCGGAGCCAGAGACCACGCCCCTGCCATAATCAGGCCCGGATCAGACCCAGATCAAACCTGGATCAGGCCTGGATCCGATCTGGATCTGGTTGAGTCATATCTGGATCACACCTTGATCAGACCTGGATCTCTGCAGCAGTCTGTTTACGTGCCTGAACAGACTCAGAGCTCAGAGACATGAGGTCTCAGTCTGACTCGTGTTTCTGCGTCTTCACGCCTCCTAGCGGCGCGATTTAAAACGGTACGAAGGCTTCAGCATCTTGCTCACCTCTGAGTGCACCCGACCTTTAAACAGAAAACAGGAAACAGGAAGTGGTGGGCTCACCTTCAGGTGCTGTAGCGCCCTCCTGTCGTCCTCCAACTGACGCTTCTTGTTCTCGATCTCCGTCTGCCACTTCCTTTTCTCCTGCAGCATTATGGAAAACAGAACCAGCTGCTGATTGGGATCAATAATCCAATCACACTTCTGCTCTGAAGTAATCCACTGAGGTAATCTGATTACTGACTGCACTCTCTTAGTGTGGGCTTTTATTTTGAAATAAAATAAAAGTGTGTTTGTTTAGATAAAGTTTAAAATTCAGAGTCAACATTGATAACTTCGAGCAATAAAACTTACTGGGGGGGTGGGGTCTCACACACACATCTGAATCATTGATACTAGGTGTGTGAGATGCTGCATTCACTGACTGTAAGTAAACTCACCACAATGAGCTGCAGTCGATCCTGCTGATAGAGAACCTCGCTCACCCTGAGGGAGAGACAGACAGACAGGTTAATGATGTCACTGTGACATCACTGAATCGTACGTTTCCTTAATACACAGATGCTCGATGCACAGCTCTGTTTACACTTTAACCTCACACACTCATTCATACACTGACTAGCTATCTCACACATACACACGCACACACGCTCTCTCTCTCTCTCTCTCTCAAACACACACACACACACACACACTCCAGCAGAGTCTTGAAGCGATCAGCTAACAAGTGCTCAACAGCGGTGAGTCATCAGTTATTTGCTGTAAAGATGGCTGCCCTTTATTCAGTTTGCTTGAGCTGAAGGCAGTGCGAGGCCTCAGGCGGTCTGTGCTGGCGGAGCTGCTGCTGGTTGGTGTAGCACTCAGGAAACCAGAGTTCACCAAACAAGGAGCAGCCAGACGCAGATGCGGCGTTGGTCCCGCCCTGATTCCTCCCTGAGTATAATGGGAGCATCGCACCCAAAGTAGACTTCATGTTTTATTCAGTGAGACTGCAACTGGAGGCTGAGACCATGAACTCATCGGGACAGAGGTCACTGGGTTCAGAGGTCAGCTCGATCCACCTCTCCTCTCTGGAGGACACACAGTATGCTTTACACTTTAAACTTTTCCTCTCAGACACCTCAAACAAAGCTTCACTTTATGGTCTCCATGGAGACCACAGTCCACTGCAAGGACCGACAACACCAGCAGCTAGAACCCGGCCCACTGGGAAGCAGTTCAGACACAGCGCCCTGACGAGGAGGAGGTACTTTAAAGGCTCAAACTGAAGCTCAGGCTCTTTCTGTGTTTTTGTCCATGCCTGCTCAGCAGCAGTGAGATGTATTATAGAGAGGGGCATGGCAGGTAATGGGACAGGAGCTCAGACTGATGATTGGATGATATTAATTATTGATCAGTTTGTGATCCGTCTGAGAGGAAAGGGTTCCGGTCAGTCAGCAGGTGTGTGACTTTTAATTGAAACGCCGCATTAGAGGCAGACAGGAAGTCCATGCACTGCAGTGATGAAGTACTTGCAGTAAAAACAGAAGAGTACAAATACTCAGTTACATGTTAGAGTAAAAGTACTCTCAGCTTAGCCTTATAAAGTAAAGATAAGCGATAAGATCAGATAAACCTTTATTAGTCCCACATTTGGCACTAACACGTGGTTCTGCTCTGGGCTGTGTCCTTGTCCAGACACCACATCCTACTACTGCCTCTGAGCCTCCACCAGGCTGCAGCAGCTCCATCAATCCCACAGGCACACCAAACAAGCACACAGGAAGTGCACTTCAAAATAAAACAGCTGCTGGGATGAAACTCAACCAGCTCCCAGATTCTGATTGGCAGTCTTTTCTGAAGTCTGGGTTTATAAGTGGCTGTGAGGAAGGCAGGAGGAAATAATGAAGAAGTCACAAAGAAAACAGATTTCTGCAGAACATGATGGAAAATAATACAGATAAAAAAATTCCCAAAACACAAAGTGGTAAGAAACCAATGATTTATCTGCAGCTTCCTGTTTACCTGCATCAGTTAAATCTGATTATCTGATGAACCTCAAACATGACGTACAGAAACATCAGAACTCATCTCAGCACCATCTGACACCTGGATCTGCTCCCAGGTGTGACTCTTCCTGTGGGAATCATCCATTGGGTGCGTCTCTGCAGGTGTATGGTAACTCCATAGTGAGTGAGACTTTGTGCAGGTGTGTCAGAGCAAGTTTTATGTTGACGTTTCTGAAAATTCACACTTTGTGGTAATTCTTGTAATTCTGTAAGTGACATCGTGACATCATTAAAGAGCCTGCCTTGCTGAATTTAGAAAACTGAACCAATCGGACTGGGGCTTAAACCTTATATTGTGAAGAACCCCGCCGGAAGTCACCCTCTCCTCACACGTCCAACTTGACGGAAGTGACTGAGCTCAAATGAGGAACACAGAAACTGATCAATATGCAATCATAGACGCTCGTGCTGCTTATTGATCAGAGCTGGTGCTGCTTCCGCAGGGGAAAGTAGAGCACAGAGAGGTTTGATCACTCCGCGGGTCCGCACGCCCTTTAACCCATCACCTGCCGCTGCGGTGACTCGGACACCCCCACCACACCCCCCAAAGTCTCCAGTTTGGTGCAGTTAGCCCCCCACCCATCCACCCCTCGGTCCTGACTCAGCGCCCTGATGCCGCACAATGACGACACGAGTCTCAGATACGTCACAAACACAGAAAAACAACCAGAAGAAGAAAAGAGAAGAAGGGAAAGAAAGAAGAGAGAGAAGAAATAAAGTGTACTCACTCCTCCATGTCCGACGGCAGATCAGTCCGCAGCAAAATCAAACATCTGATCCACATCCGAGAGAGCAAACAAACCCGCCCACCGGGGAGGACGGAGGACAGGAGGGAGGGGGAGGAAAGGAGAGGAGGGTAGGAAAGGAGAAAAGGGTAGGAGAAGTTTTGAATGTTGAACCTTTTTTGGTCAGATTTTGACGTCACAGTTGAAAGTGTGCTTGCAGATTCATAATCAAGAGATGAGAGTGAGGAAGACTTTTACTTTGAAATCAGTCCAACATGCAAAAACGCTGTTATTGAATCCCAAAAGGTTGATTCTGTTCATCTGGACGTTTTCAGTGGGAGAAACGTTTCGTCATCATCCAGGTGACTTATGCAGTCTCAGCTTACAGCAGGTCTCCAACCTTATAAACGGTTCCTCTGCACAATGACTGAAACTAGCCAGACAGAATCAGCCTTTTGGGATTTACTTACCTGGATGACTGAGCATGCATCAAGAGGCTGTTATTGATCAATTGACTAATGGATGGAGGATCGATTTTAAGAACTGTGAGGTGGACGGGATGAAGATGTGGAGCTCCTGGTCTCCATGATGACTTATTATTTTTATTACTGCAGCTGTCACGGGGACAGACTGGGACGTCAGACTCGGTAACAAAGCCTTCTGCTTCACACGAGTACTTCCTTCTGCACTCTCCATGTTTGCTCCTCGTCCTTCATATCATTTATCGTACATGTGAATCCATTTTTCATGAGCTTAAGTTTCATGAAGCTTCCTGCAAGTCATTCACATCATGAAAGTGATAAACACACGAATGAATCCAGAATTATCATCCAGTACCAGTAAGTACTCATACTTTAGTTACTCTCAGTGTAGTTGGAGTGCTTTTTAAACTCAGTGTTTCAGTGAAGCGCCAGGATGAGGCGCTTCATTTTGAATATAATGTCATATTTATGTCGACACTCTAGATATTTGGCAATGAACATGTTAAAGTTTTGTTTTTGGTACAGTTTAAAGACAGACATTTATCCCGAGGACAGTTTGTCTCATTTTCTTTTCATTTAATTAACACGGAAGGTGAAGCAATAATCCTGCAGCAACACCTAGTGGTGGTTGGAAAGAATTTTTTTTAATGGTCGACTTCCTGCAGACCATGCTTCTTACTGTACCATAGATGGACTGGCCATCGGGCATACCGGGCATTTGCCCGGTGGGCCGCTGGCGATTTTTTGTTTTTATGGGCCGATGGATTTTTTTTATTTATTTATTTTTTTTTAGGAAGGGTATATATAATGGAAGGTGTTGGATTGGCCAATTGGTCATGATCGACTCTGGGCTGGACCAATTACAGCCGAGGAGGCTGGATGCACCCTCCCCCTTGTTTAGCAATCACGTGATTTTCGCGCATTGCATGCCGGGAACTCGTGGCAGAACAATCCAAGTACCGCATCAAATGCAAGCATTTGCAGCACCGCAAAACGTTCATTCTCCGGTTCCAATACCTTCTTTTTTTTTCTTTGCCGCACAAAAAAGGAATGTACAAAACAAAAGGAGAACAATGCCGGTCCGTACAAAGACAGACTCGACGAAAAGACAAAGAAAAGATACGAGGAAAAAATCAAAGGAGTGAAAGGGTCAGACCCTTAACGAGCACACAGAGTGGACAAAAGACGTCAGTGTGCTGCCCACTTTCACCACGCTCAGATTTATAATTACACGGTTCTTGGAGTGAGTGCATACACTCATGAAGTTTAGTAACTTCAGGTCACTGCAACAAGCCCAGGTACAGTTTACCGACGGATGGGTGCAGGACCTTGAAATGCACCGTGTAGGACGAAAGACTATTGTACGTATCATAAGTTTACCAGTCTCACAAATCGTCTTCATAAATACACATTCATTAACAGTTTATTAATAGGACCTTTGAGCTCAACGGTAATTAATTAGTAGTGGAAATAATTTCTGGTAGTGTAACAGTGTTTGTGGTATTATTCCACTTGCCACAAATATCAGTGTAATGGGGAAACAGCGCCCCCCCGCTCTCAGTGTGGCTGGTTAGGTGAGGCTGGCTGCAGTAATCGCTGCCAGTCTGCCGTAGCCATACGAGAGGTGAGTTGTATTGTTCCGCACACAATATAGCTAAGTAGTACAGACACATAAAACATGTCTGATTAGCTGACGAGCACCGAGTGTAATAAGTGCTTAGTGGACACATGTCCAACACCAGTTTTATGTACTTTTCATTTGTTTATTACAGTTTTTTACAGACGCTAGGACACATTTCTCAATACTTAGGTCACGTTTGCAAAACTCCTCACACAGTGAGCACAACAGAAGTCTATGTGGGCTAAACTGAGGACCAGTTATCATTGTTTTGGCACAAAATGCATTCAATGACTACATCTCTCAAATTACATGAATCATCTTCTCACTCAGACACAACAACTGCCAAAAAGCTTTGTACGTACAGGACATTTTGCATGTGCTTACATACTGTTTTCAAAACTGTTAAACTCATGGTCAAAACAATAACACAATGCAAAACTTGAAAAGACAGCAAAATCCAACGGCAATATTTTACTGAAACATATTTTAAATCTAACAATGCAGTTTAACCAGCCACAGCTGATTCTCATTGTGGATGAACATCTACACAGTTGTTACTCCTTCAATTTTTCAACTCCTTCAATTCTGGCATGCCAGAAGATTCTTTCCTTGGTGTGTTGCCCAAGATGACATAAGATGTGATGTGGATGAGAACCTGTGGCCAAATGGAGAAGACCGAGTAGATTAGCATTACTATTGTATGTGTATCAGTGAATGGTGTGTATACGAATTCTTGTATTTTGGGATTACTTAGTGCAAAAAAATAAAAATACATAAACATAAATACATGATGTCTGATTCATTCCAGTAACATATATTGAAATTATAAACAGAGATGTGTCCTTGTTTTACACAGGAAAACACTGTGTAATGCTACATGTTGTTAGTGTTTTTTAGGTCATTGTTTTGTGGGTGACAAAGTGTGTTTGTCGGCTGTCAACCTTTGCTAGTGTTCTGGAGGAATGTTTTTATTTGAGACCTGAATGAAGTGTTTTGGTAGTTGTAGTGCATTTTGAATGTGGAATGAACTGCTTTGCCAAGCTGAGGGTCAGTTAGGAGGATTGTGTGAAGAGTTTTGCAAAAGTGACCTAAGTATTGAGAAATGTGTCCTAGCGTCTGTACAAAACTGTAATGCGTGAAACTGTATGCTAAAGCGGAATGCTAATGAGATGTTCTGCCGTAGTGTGCTGTGCGGAGTGGTGTGTGGCGAGCCTGTGCACTGATAATACACCGTTGTTTCCATTCAGGTACATAATTTGTTGTTGCTGTTATTTTATTGTATATTAGAAATTGTAATATTGCTGCAGTAATCGCTGCCAGTCTGCCGTAGCCATACGAGAGTGTGCTGTGCGGAGTGGTGTATGGCGAGCTTGTGCACTGATAATACACCGTTGTTTCCATTCAGGAAATAAAGTGGCAACAATCGATCAGAGACTCCTTGTCTTTTTAAAAACACTACACAACGCAGAGTCGAGGAGTCTGTTTGGGCCGAACTGTTGCAGCGGGATGAAGCAGAAACCGGTTACAGTAGCATTACAGAAATGTAGCAGTGACAATAATATTGTATGTTGTAATCGCAATGGACAATTAGTGATACAAAACAACTGTTTTATCCTGTGAATAAAAGTATATGTTTTTGTCAATGTACCATGGTAATAACAGAAGCGAAACACAATATTGTGTCAGGACAATTTACTATTTATGCACAATAAATAAAGGAGCATAGCGCCACAATTTCTGTTCAGCGCCAGACTTGCTTGTAACCTATATCACCAATTATGTTAAGAAAAATGACGTATTAACTACTAAAAAACTCTGACCTTTGTGGGAATGCTTGGAGCAGACTAACATGTGAGCTGGAGTGTTCTGAGACGTTATATTTGGTATATCCAGACCATCCGTCGGCTCTTACTTCGGAAACATGGCTTAAAAAATTTCTCTTCAACGACGTAATCCGATAAAAAAAAAAAACGATCTCTTTACCCATCGGCTTCCCGTGGCTGTCATGCGACCGGCTATTGAAGTTAATAATACAACAGCTTCTTGCCATTTTTTGGGTTTCTTTTTATCGCTGTGTAACTGAGTTCAATTGAAAGCCTGCGTGCGCTAGTACCTCTTGCCACAAGTTCCCAGAATCCTTTGCGGTTTTATCCCTGAATGACGTCACATTTTCAATCTTTATCCTGGTGGGCCGGTCTCTAGTCAAAATGCCCGGGCCGATTTTTTGTCCCAGTCCAGCCTTGTACTGTACTGACAGTTTTACTACTCTCATCACTTCAGTGTGAGGAGTGGAGGTTCAGGCAGAGCTGGAAGATTGCTCAGGTTACTCTGAAGTCTGACAGGTACTGGAGACAGCTGAGGCTGCAGAATGGTTTATTCTGAGAAGAGGAGGTAGAATGTGAGTGGAAACAATGGTTTGGTTTCACTTGATCATATCTGAGGGCGTCTCTGATGGAAGCAGACGTTTCACGCATGGTAGGAAAGTTCACGAAAACCTCTGGACGGTGTTCCCTGCAGAACTTCTGACGCACCACGACCAACACAGGCCACCAGGGGGCGCTACATCAATATGAGCATATAGGCTGTGTTTAATGTGTTGTAATATAAGCGAGCCCCTAAGACTCATCAGCAGTAGCGGTTTTAGATTTGGGCGACAGGGGCGGTTGCCCGGGGCGGCATCGTGGTGGGGGGCGGCATCACGGGCATCGGCAACAACAAAAAAAATGCTCATACTCATGCTGCCCGACGTCAGCCAGCGCATATTGGGAATGGCACAGGCACCAATCGGTTTTCTATTGCCCATTTGCTGGGAGTAAGGGCGCCCTTCGTTTGCGAGGTGCGCCTGCTGCTTGCGGCGCAGAGAGGAGAGGGCGGGGCGGCGGGGGATTCTCTGACCGGCTGGAGCAGCATCTAATAACCAACTCGGAAAATAAAACAAAATAAAAACAAACACGAAAACACCAGACATTATAATACAGACTTATAAATTGCACCAATGTTTTTTCGAAATTCTATACACGAAAAGTGAGCGCGAGAGCCCTCGGTGCGCCTGCTTGCTGCTGAAGTCAAAGTAAACTTTATTGTCATCTCCGCTACAGTCCAGTATATAGAGAGACGAGATGACGAGGCTCCAGTTACAGCAGTGCAAGTAAACAAACAATATATATAAGAAGAGTAAGAAAATAAATATACACTTTAGGACTCGGGGTAAAGGGATCACTAACAATTTAAAATTTACAGTTTGATGATTTAAAGTCTCACACACAACCCGTCAAAAGGGGAGAGGGCCCCTGCTGCTTCCAAATAGAGCACATTTAATTTATAATGATGTAAATCCAAGTCCATTATGTATTCATGATTTGAATCCTGGGTTGTGTGAAATCTCAGAAATGCACCCTAGACAAAGTGAATCTGTGAACTAAGGTGTAGGTGTGTTAGATCATGTTGTGGTGATCCTCAGGTTGAGGGATGGGTGTTCATACTGGAGTGAAAAATTAAAACCAATGGAAGATGGACAAGAAAAGTTCAAAGCCATCAGGTCCTCAGTTAAGAAAAAAGAGAAAAGAAGAGGAAGAGAAACGAGCAAAAGATACAGGTAAGCAGATATCGTCACCAGTGGGAAGCAGCTCTGCTCCAACACTGACCGTGTGCAGATTGTGAACTTTCAACGTAGTTTTACAGGTTTTCCTGTTAATAAAGAGCCCGCCTCATTCAAACAGCATCAAAGGAATTAAGTCACAGATAAACAATTAAATGGGGGAAATGTCCTTTTTTCACTTTTACAGTGAGTTCACAGAAAAAAAGACATTTTCTTTGAATGAGAACATTATATTTTATAATTACAGGACAGTGTGGGCAGTGAATTGCCAGAACTACTTCTGTAATTTTACACATTTATCGTGTCATAAATGTCTGGCCACATTAGGATCAACGTAGCTTGTACGTGGCCCATGAGTTACAATGAATTTGATGTCCTTGTATTAAAGCCTCTGTGAGTGATCACTCTGCTGTTGTTAGAGCAGGTGAAGGCATCTGAGGGTCATCCTGCCATCTTTTCATCCCGACTTGACTATTTTAGCCATATTTGCTCAGGTCAATCACTCACTACACAGATTTTAAACTTGTATTGTGTAAGTCTGCAGGGCATGTGCCTCCCTACCTCACCTCTTTATTATTTTCTCTGCTCTGCAGCACTTTTATCAAGCAGCTGTTTTTAAATGTGCTGTGAATTAATCTGACTTGAAATCAGCCTGTGTGTTAGGGTTGATCAGTTTGTGAGGACACAAATCACACTGCACGAGTGCTTTAAAGAGCTGGATCACCTCTCATTTCTACAAAAGAGGATTAGGAATGCTAAAAAAAAAAAAACAAACAAACAAACTTTTTCACCATTCTTAAATAATAAAATAAGAAATACAAAAGCCCCCCGCCCACCTTTTTCCAGTGGTCTCAGATAAAACTAAGCTTATCATATTTGGCCCTACAAATCTTAGAAATATGATGCCTGTGAGGACTCCTGGAGCTGTTTCTGACCAGGATAGGTCTTTCTATGCGCATATTAAACAAATATGCAGGACTGGTTTCTTTCTTTCTAACAACTTCCTGTTTTTGCACTCGCTGCCTCTCCTCCATCCTCACTGATGCATCTTTAAATTTGTCTTCTCTCTTTTTCTCCTCATCTCTGTGCTCCCCTTCTTGGGCCTCGTTTCCTGTTAAAAGGGACTTCTTCATCCCCACTGTTGCCAGGTGTTGATATCGTGCAATCGTTCCACTTAGCAGCTTGAAGCTGTGTATTGGTGCTAATCAATGACTATAGAAAAGATGGCGAACCTGGCTGCACTTCCTCCCATTGTACAAAAATGAAGCCCGCTTGAAGGAGCTGCCATGTTGCACTTTTGGAGCCCGAGTCTGCACGGTTGTGACTTGAGGTAGAGCATCAGCATCATTCACCCACTGGACATGACTGTTAACACGCCTCCCTACACTTTTTTCGTAGCCCGGCTGCTCCGGTCCATCTGCTGATGGGTTTACAGTGACTCGTTAAATACAACCACATCACTATTATGAAAAAGACACAACTTATCATCTCATAGCTCTACAAGTTTTCTACAGTCAACGGTGCTAAATGAATAAAACTGAAGTGAATATAAAGGAATGACCATGACTTCAGAGTGGAACTCACTGGCACACAATCAAACTTTTACGAGACCTTGCTCTTTAACAGAAGGCTTAAGTTTAATTGAGTTTAATGTCAGCAGTGATTGATTTAAACTCAGATCAATTTCACTGATTTTCACAATAAAACACTGCATACACTGTGTGAAAGGGACATTTATTTTGAAAGACAATCATTGCAGTTAGTGTTTCAATGCACAAATGATTTGTGTGTGTGTGTGTGTGTGGATGTGTGTGTGTGTGTGTCTGAGATTATCAGTACATTTTTTTCAGCTCTCATGATTTCCAGCTCATTGATTGGTTGGATATTAAAAAATTGTCTGCAGGCACAAAGAAGAAAATCTGAAGAAAACAAACAAACTAAAGCTGAAAATCATTTCCTGGGTAAAAAAAAGATCAATTTAAAGCTTTGCGAATAAAAGTTAAAAGCTAAATGTTCACTGTAAAGATAAAATATCAGAAGGATTTGATTTTAACTTCATCTGTTTGTTCTTCAGTCGCTCCTCTGGGTGGGACGAACACAGCGGACTGTTCCTTTAACGGTTGATCAGCTCCATGCTGATTGGGTAGAGACGGGCGGCAAGCAGCTCGTACCAAACGTCACGTTTGAAGATTTATTTGTAAAAATGTTAAATTAAATAAATAAATTACCGATGAAATGTTTTGACTTTCAAAAATCAGTCAGAGAGAAAATCCATTGGTTCTCGAAGGACTACACTTCCCAGAGTGCACTGCAGCAGGCCAGCCAATCAGCTGGTAGCAGTCTGACCCACAATTCTCTGCACGGTGTGAGAAACACCCGAGGGAGGGGGTCAAAGGTCAAACTGATCACAGACTGTATTGAGACATGGCTTCTGAGGCTAGTGGGTAGTGTAGTACTTGAAGCACACCAAGGAAGAACGGGGGAAGATCTGTGCTGAGGTCAAAGCAGGAAATGCAACTGGACCAGAACCTTCAGGACAGGAAGTTGAACGACCGTCGTCAGGGAAACCAGAGACACTACATCTCCGGTTTCCCTGACAATCTTCTGAAGATTATCGGGAACGAAACACCACTACTTAATCAAACGCTTACAGTCCTGTGACCTCTGTGTGCTTTACTGTAACTGAGGGACAGGAACATTCCCACTGAGATAATCAGGTAATCATCACAAGGTCTGTCTTAAATCACCGCTGAGGTTAAAGGTCAGACGAGTCACGGAGTGGAGCACATCCACAAGCTAACCAACTCTCATCCTAACATCAGACAGACCCAATCAGAGATGTGAACAGCTGGTTTTACAACTACAATAAAAAAAAAAGGCTGTTTGTTTACTTCAGTGTCCGTGACCCGAGTTTGATTACTGTTCGTTACCCTGATGATGCCGATGGTAAACAGGAGGTGGAGCTTAAGTTAATACATTTTCATTTATATAGCACCAAATCACACCAGTCGCCCTTAGGCGCTTTAATGACACCAGCCTTACTGATGTCACCTGAACGTTGAAGTTATGTCGGATATCTGTCACAGCCTCACACTCTTTGTCGCTGACAGAATCAACCTTTGGATCTCGTGCTTGAATCTTCAAATGTTCTCTGACTGACCCGCGTCCACCATCACACCGGACTGCTTAACGAGCACACCTCAGAGACACAGTGAAGTCACCCTGATGGCGATGATAACGATGGCGTTAGTAATCACAAACTTGTTGTCGTTCTGAGAGGCTCATGGTCTCATTTACTTGCACAGCCCAGGATCAGATGATGGAGACATGACCAGGTGTTTATACGACCTGCATTAAAATGCAATAAAACTGCCTCCACTGAGGGGGCGTCGGTTCATTTTCCCCGCAGTGTATAAGCTGATCCAGTCGCCGTTTTACCTATGCCACGCCCCCTAAATCGCCTAGTTTTCAGTGTGTTCACGTAGCTCTTATATTTACAAGGTTTCACTGCTTTACCTGGAGCAAGTGCAAGACTCCATTTGCAAAAACAGGAAGATTACCTCGCAGAAAAGGAGAGCAGATTGTCTGATTGACTCGTTAGTCCTTTGGTCTTATAATGTCTTCGTTTGTAAGCTCACGAGTTTAGAGATAAACCCCACCTAGCGTGTTTCCTGTGAGGTAAAAATCTAATTGGCGGCTCTGACAACAGCGAGTCATTGTCGGGACGGTCTCCTCCACCCTGCAGGAGAACCTCGAGATAAGCTTAAAACGAAGAGGCAAGTGGGGGGAGGGGCTAAACAGAGAATAGTAAATCATAAGACACTGACACAACCTAACTGAACAGACACATCATGCCAGCGTCACGCTTCTTTGATAAAAATCTTTCTTGTCGTTCGCTTCTTTATAAAACACTGATTCATTTTAACCTCCGTGCCTCGCCCAAGCCATTGTGTTTACTTGTCACACGGTTTTTCAACTTTCTGTCATGCTACGTGTTAATGTTTGCTCTTAGGTGAGATGAAGGTGCTGATCCAGCAGGTGAGAAAATGTCGTCACACAGGTGAGAGAAAGTGTTTTTAACTGAGCATGCTCACAGCCAGCCTCCTCATCACACTGGTCTGGGTGCAACCGTGGCAAAGGGGAAGGGGGTGGGGCTTCGACCTCAGAACTCGACCTTGCAGGCAGGGAAGGTTTCCTCCTGCATGGCGACGGTGCTGTTGCTGCCCAGCACGGTGACTGACAGCTCCCGCTGCCTGTCGTGGGTCTCCTGGTACCACTCGTGCATCGCCAGCGAATCAAACGTTGGGATCAGCGTCACCTGAGAAAAGCCCGGAGAAACACCAATCACAGAGCAGCTCGTGAGCAGATGGGAAGGTGAAGAAAGTGTCACAAACCTGGATGTCCGGCCAGCTGCTCTTCCCCTCCAGCAGTGCATCCAGGATGCTCCTCATCGCCGCCTCCTTCACCGGGTCGTCTCCACTCACAATGTAATATGAGGAGCGGAGGCGCCTGAAGAAGTCCAAGTCCACAGTGGTGGAGGCAGTCCCGGACGGCAGGTAGGCCAGATCCACATAGACCGCAGAACCCTCAGACCCGGAGGAACCCGAAGCTCTGGAACCTGGATCCAAAAGAAGAAACAAAAAGAACCATGATCATAAACCAGGGTTTTATGATCTGCTATCTTTATTTAACTCTGAGTGAGGCAGTTTGTGACAAGCACAATAAATCAGTGGCCATGCTTTTTGATTTCCTGATTAAGCCTCAGTGACTTCATGCAGCAGGTCACTGCGTGGGTTATAATCTGAAGGCATACCTGAGGATTGAGGTTTTGCAGCTCCGATTCTAGATCCACCCAGTGAACTCCGGGATGAGGGCTTGGCATCGAGGCTGGACGCCATCTTTAAGGACCCTGTGGAGCTGCCGACCTTCGACCTTCCATTCTGGGCCACTGTGCTCCCTGACGACATTCTCTGCAGCGGTTTCTTTGTCTTTCCGGCTGAGCTCTTCTTGTCAGGCTCTGAGTCAGCCATACAGGCTCCAGGCTGCGGCGGTAGAGGAGGGAGGTCCTTGACCGGCGCTGGCGGTGGGTCGTGCTGCCCTGCCCTGTGGGTAAAGTGTGATGTAGGATGTTCCAGTGGTTGGGTGGGTGGAAAGAACCCGCTGGAATCATCTTCAGAATCAATGTCGGCTGTGATGGAAGGACAGTCCTCTGTGCTGGGGGGGATATCAGAATCAGTGGTGGTGGGCAGGGTGCCGCTTACTGATGTGGGCGGAGTCTCCTGACTGTAGGCTGAGGCGTGGTCGCTGCTGCTCGCATCCTGAGAGTGGTTGTTGTTATCAGAGACGTCTGGAGACGTTCCCGTGGCGAGGCTGGGGCTCACGTGCTGCTGATGGTTCTCCGAGGTTCTGGGATGCTGGAACTCACATGGGGAAACCAAGCAGAGGTCGACGTCGTGAAGAACATCCGAGATGACCTCTGACATCCCATGGATGTGGTCCTCTGATCTGTTTCCACAGCACCCGTTATGGGCAGACCTCAAGGCTATCCCAGCACTGGAGTCCAAGTCAATAACGTGGCCGTTGGCGCAGACTTTGGGGGAGGCAGCAGGGGGGGGCAGAACCTGCTCTAAAGACACTGAAAGTGATTCATCAACCTCTGTAGAGTGAGGTGAGCCAACCTCAGCCGGCATGGAGGTCATGGTTGGGGAGGAGTCCGGCATGATGTCCTTAAAAGGACTGAGGGTCAGAAGGCTGGACGGTTTATCTTGAGAGGATGTGGAGTTTTCCAGACCTTCAGGCAGGGAGCTGAGGTCAGAGGTCCTACATGAACTTCCCTGATTGTAGTCCTCAAAGCCTAGACTAGACCCTCTTGCCTCGAGGCCACTGTCCTCGCCCAAGCCACGAATGTCCTCTTCGAGGGACTGGTAGAAAGGGGTATGTCCAGCACTGTTTGGGGCAGAATCTGCAGGAGAGACCAGCTCCAGGGTCTTTTCCTCCATGCAGACATCGGGTCCATTTTTCAAGGATCTGTCCACTGGCTCATATGTGGTCTGGGTGAGGTCAAAGTTCACACTAAGATCACCTTTTGGAGTTTTAGCGACCAGTGAGGAGGCAGTGACCATATCATGATCAGTCTCTGAGCAGCGAAACTTCTCTGGACTCTCTACTGCGGAAGTCGGGTTCCCGTTGGACTTTACTTCGTCAGGATTCAACCCCCTGGACTTTGCACTTTTACCACTATTCCCATTCTCATCTTCCAATCGAAGTCTTTCAAATTCAGCCGTCATGTCCTCAGGTGTGGACACCTTAGAGCGAGCCACCTCCTTCTGGGTCTCCTGCTCCTTTGACACCGGTTTGCCTTTCGTCCCTTTGTTCAAAGTATCTTTCTTGGGAAGAGTCCCATCCTTCTTCAGAGTGCTGGTCTTCCCAGACGGTTTTCTTATTTCTGCACTTGCTGTTGAAGCTGCACTTGTGGCTTTCTTCACTTCTTTAATGGCTGGCTTTGCTGCCTTCTTCTCATCGCTCTTCACGTCCCTCTTCACGTCTTTTTTTGGTTCAGATTTGACGTCTTTCCTTGGCTTCATACTTGGGATTTCTTTCTTTGTTGCTTCTTTCTTTTTCTCTCCACTCTCTTCCTTCTTGTCTTTCTTCTTCACTTCCTTCTTCTCTTCTTTTAAAACCTCTTTCTTTGGAATGAGCTTTTCAGCAGATTTTGCTGGCTTCGATTTAGCCTCTGGTTCCTTTGTTTTGGGCTTTTCTTCGGCATCCTTTCTGTCTTTAGGTACAGAGTCAGCTGCTACCCTAGGCTTGGTTTTCATCTCTTGTTTTTTGGCATCCACTCGTCCAAGTTTGTCTTTCTGTAAGGCACTACTGGGTCTGAAGTCCTTAGACTGGGACTTAAGGCTTTCTCGACTGTCTGCTCGTTTTGGTTGCTTTTCGATTTTGGATGTTTCCAGGTCCTTCAAACACACTGCTGGTAGTTTCAGGAAATCCAGATGTTTGAGTTTCTCAAGTCCATCCAGAATTTTGGTCTGAGGCGTGCACCCTGGGAAGAGCACACGGATGATTTTCTCCTGAGGGCTGGACGGGTGCCAGACCAACAAAGCACAAATGGAAACAAGGCACGGCAGTGGAAGATCTGAGCCCTTCACATTCGATCCATTGTTTGGCCAAGTCTGCATCAAAGCTTCGAGCTCTTTGCTACCGCTGACCGGATTCAGAGTGTAAAGCTCCAGACGACCAACTCCCATCTTTTGGAACAAGATCACGGGTTCTATGCTAGGTCCGTTAGGCCGGTTCAGGGGTTCTGGTCTGATCGCCAGTCTCTGCAGGTGCTGCAGAGCAACTGTTGCCTGATCGCAGCTCCGCAGCTCGCTTGGATCTTCCTGGATGAACTTCAGCCTGTCGGGAACATTGAGAAAGACCACCCCGATCTCAGGGGAGATGAGGTTTTTCATCCAGTCCTCTTCGGGATGGGATCCGGCAGCCTCGTCGTCCTGCTCGGAAACTTTTCTCAGCAGCAGACTGTTCACGCCCGGCAGATTGTCCACTCCGATGTGTGTCAACAGTACAGCGTCAATCCTGTCCAAGTGTCGAACCAGTTTCCAAAAGCTGGAGCGTGAGTCAGAACCGCCGTTCACCAAGACATTAAAACCGTTAACAGCGAAGAAGGCAGAGTCACCCCTCCCGCCAGGGAAGATGTAGCAGCAAGGTCGAGACAGCTTCAGGAAGCCCACGGTGCTTGGGGGCTCCAGTAGGTCGAAGGGAGACTCGGGCTCCAGAGACTCCAAAAGGTACTCTACGAACTCTTGCAAACCCTCCATCTCGGGCAGGACTGGGGGAGGGTTGATCCGAATGTTTATGAAGTCTTGCAGATTGTGTTTCTCCAGTGCCGGCTCCTTCCAAAGGCCAGAGTCTGGACAGCTGAGGGTGAGGCTAGGCTTCACCGCTGGGCCTGCCGAGCTCAGCAGTTCACCGACCTGTCGACACAGAGTCAAGCAACTCGAACATCAGCAAGCACTTAAACATGCTGTGTAAACAAAACCAACAAAGACACAGTTTGCTTACCTCCTCGTCAGAAAAAATCTGGATGAGGTTGCTGAGGGAGAAGCAGCCTTTCTGCAGTACAATGTCGCCGCTGCCCTCAACACACTGACCGGCGAGAATCAGCAGTTTGCGGCGCGATGGATTGCAGACAAGCCGCCGCACCTGAAACAGGAAATGCATCATCGGTGCAGCTCAGAGGAAATAAAAACATACTCAGACACACACCTAGCAAACTGAGCCAGGAAGTATTCTCAGATATACAGGAGATCAGCTGATCTCCGTGTACGCGAGAGCCCGCCAACAGCTGAGAAAACATCTGTAAAGGTTCACGTCTGACTCACCTCTGAGGAAACAAACTCTGAGCCTGGATTCACCACGACTTGCGTGTCCAGGACGTCCCCGCTGTGCTGGAGAGTCCGCTGACCTGAAACACACAAACAGGACAAACGAGTGTCAGGGGGAGATCTTCCCTCAGGTTTGCCCTCATTCCTGCTCACTCTCCTGTTCTCTCCATGAGTGCTGCAGCTGCTCATTCATTGGCGGGACATCGCTCAAGACCACATCCACCCACCACACTGCCTGCCAGGTTCCACTGAAAATACATCCATTGAAACTAAAGCTCATCATCTGTGTGCATGCGTGTCTGTCTGTCTGGGTGCGTGTGTGTGCGCACGTATAATAATAATAATAATAATAATAATAATAATAATAATGGATTGCATTTATATAGCATTTTTCGGGGCCCTCAAAGCGCTGTACAATTCCACTATTCATTCACTCTCACATTCATACACTGGTGGAGGCAAGCTACAGTTGTAGCCACAGCTGCCCTGGGGCAGACTGACAGAAGCGAGGCTGCCATATCGCACCATCGGCCCCTCTGGCCATCACCAGTAGGCGGTAGGTGAAGTGTCTTGCCCAAGGACACAACGAGGGACTCGAACCGGCAACCTTTTGGTTACAAGACGAACTGCCAACTCTTTGAGCCACAATCGTCTGTATGTCTTTGGGCGGCTCAGCAGAGTCTCAGCTGACTGTGTTTGTGTTTGGATGGAACAACCAATTATCTGTCTCTGTTTAAAGCCCCTCAGACTGATGACTTCACTCCGTCCTGTTGGATCAACTGTGCCACAGTCTGATTTACCCTCTGTCCGTGTTGTTGCCTTTAAGTCGCTGACCTGTCCCAGGTCAACTTTCCTCTTAGGTGAGGCAGAGGGTAAACACCTGGGCCATCAGCTGTTAGTCTTTCAGATGCACTGAAATGCCTCAGAGGAGCTGAGCAGAATTTGAGGAGCCTTCAACTCCTCAGTTTAGACCATGTGTTAAGATTGGGAGGGTCAAATTAAAGGAAAACACAGCAAAGTTATAAAATGTCAACTTTAAACCCTCAAAACTGATGATGATGATGATGTTCATCTTCTTCATCATTATTATGACCACCAAATTTTGACGACACTCAACCTCCCCATCACCGCTTTGCTCTGGACTCCCCGTCAGAGAGCTGCCCCTCACCTTGCCTTCATATTCATCATCTCTGTGTCACGGTGTCAGGAAGCTTGGCATCACGCATCACAGTGGACGGCAAGCTCAGTTTGGATACCCCATCAGTAAGGTCACAAGAAGTACCGTCTATCTGTGGTTATCTCAAACTGATTCTGAGGTCCACGTATCTGTGTCTATGTGTTAGCCCTGTGACAGACTGGCCACCTGTTCAGGGTGTACCCTGCCTCTTGCCCTAAGACATCTGGGATAGGCTCCAGCCCCCACAACCCAAAAAAAAGAATAGGAGGAAGAGAATGGATGGATGGATCTTTGTTTATCCATGTTAGCGGGACCTGTCAGTGACAAGGATATCTCCCAGTCACAGGTGATATGTGACTGGTTCTCGATCGTTTCAGAACAAAACACGTGGAACATTCTGTAACCAGCATCCACAGAAACCTGTTCATTCTGAAGAAAACTCCACTCAGATCCTTCAGTGAATGAAGCTGGAAGAACGTCTGCAGAGGAAATTGGCAACTGCTGCACGTGAAACTGCATCGCTCAGACTGAGACGGTCAGGTGTTTTTAAACTGTTATGACCTGAGATGGACCCACATCCCACCCCGAACATTAATAATTTAAACTCAGCAACTAATGTCTGATCACTGTCCCGTTACAGAGCTTCCTGTGAGGTTTTCCCACTTTAACGTTTCAGCTAAAAGGGAACGAAAACATGAAGTACGGTTTCTTTCAGAGGTTCAGGGAACACACACACACAGTCTGACACTTGTGCGAACCTTCATCCGTTTGGTCACCCTCACAATCCTGCACACATCTAAAAGTCCTTGTGATTTTCTTTCAGACTCCAGGTCATGTGACACAAGCGGCCGTGTTTGAGGACTCGCGGTTCTTCACGCCTCCTGCAGAGTCCTGAGCTGCTGACAGTTTCTGTAAAGCTGTCCTTGCCACCTCAGTCTGAGGTCCTGTTTACAAAAAAACAGAAGCGCTGCCTCACACCATCAGCTTGTGGCCATGAGCACAAGTCACAGGACAAAACTGCTTTTCATTTGATCTAAAACACCCCATCACAGTGTGCCATCATCCTGCTGAACAGAAATTAATGATGCTATTGATAAAGGCATCAGCGGGACTTTCCTCTGCTGATCGAAAGCATTTCATGCATTTTAAAATCCTCCGAGGCCGCCAGGCTCAGCATCAGAGAACACATCAAACATGGAGGTCCACAGGGTACTGGCTTAAGAGGCCCGGGTACAAATCCACCCCGAGTGTCTGACCACTCCTCTTTCCTCCAATCAATCCCAATACAGGCTTACCTCGCACTTCTTCTGACAGGAAGGCTGAATGTCTCGACACAAAGAGCTTCAGCTGTTGATCCAGAACGGAGACGTCCAGATCCACCGCCCAGCAGCGCACACCTGGACATTAATAAGAAACAAAAAAGGGCTGAACATTTTCATTTTAATGACATTATCTTACATGGCTGCTGTGAGGTTACTGTACTTAACAGGCCATCCAGGAAATCTGAGCTCCAGTTAATAAGTTAATAAGGGCTATTAAAGGATTTTGATTGGCTATCACTAATTAGCAGGTAACTAAGTCTGTACAGAGTCCACGAAGCAGTGGGTGAAATCACCGAGGTTACATCTTTCATATACAGCTTGTTGTTGGCGTGCTATGGCTGTGAAACCTCAGATATCAGCCGCACATCACTGTCAGATAGACCATTTCTACTGCAAACAGGAAGTCAGTGATATTTAGTAACACAACTTCCTCTTTTTGTGCGAGTGGACAGAGAGTGAGTTTGTACACGCACACTCATCATAAAACAGCTGTAATAAACAGGCTGAGAGACAAGTGTGTGTGTGTGGACTGTGATCAGTCTAAAGGTTAGACAGTGAATCAGCTCAGCGTGTTTCAGAACTCAAAACTCTTTCAGATGAATCAGAGATCGCATTAATCATATTGAACAGATATCAAATTGTCCTCCTGATAGTTGCTCTGTTCGTTTTCTGTGAACCTACTTTTACAGAAAGTCCGGAAAATTAAGAAACACAATTGCCCACTTCCGGCGAGACGCATTTTCAAAAAATAAAATAATGACTCAGTAGTATGCATTTTATTTTTTCGGATAAAATCCGGAAATAAAAAGCTTAGACCTCGTCACAGAGCTCAGTGTGAATCAGTCTCAGTTTCTGAGAGTCTCTAAAGTGACCCGAAAAAGAAACCTGCACACTGGACTCGTTAAACAGCTGCACCCGAACCGGAAAAGGTTTCATAAATGTCAAATAAAACGAGGTGCTAGTTACTCTTTACAATTATGTTCAAAGTTTCTCTGCATCAGCTTCAAAGCGATAAAGTCTCTAAAACTTCGGACCGGGCACAGCTCATTCTAACAACAGCAGCCTCCCGGACTTTTATTGTGAAGGGCTGTGGGGACCTCCGGCCCCGCAGCTCTATTCTCCTGAACTTCCAGAACTCACCTGTTTCTATTTGCTGCAGTACCCGCTCCAGCAGCTCCGCGGGTCGCAGCGTTCCCACCACCACTAGGACCGAGTGATCCGCCGCAGTCCGGGAGGCGCCGGCAGGAGAGCCGGGAGGAGAGCCGGGACCGCCGCCCCGCTCCGCCGCCATCATGGCATGGACTGTCCACCGCTAACGTCACAGCATCCTCAGCCACAGCCCCACCCCGCCGCTGCTAGAGGCGGGATAATGATTTAAATGGCACATCAGTCGGCCAAAGAGAATGGACAGCCATGTAGCTGTCCAATCAGAAGTCAGAGCTGTTTTCAGGGGCAGCTCGGGAAAAACGAGTTTTATAGTTTCGTAAACCAAAGAATAAAGATCAAAACGTCGAATAGTCTTCACCAAACTGAAGCCTGCTCAGAAAAGTAAACTCTTAAAGTATAAGGACACGTTTCTGCGGATTAAAATTAACTTTCGACTTTAGTGAAAAAAAACTTTAAGAGCTGGATCATCAGATTGGTAATTTTAAATTGTTCTTTAAGTTGACCCTGAGAAACCCAAACGGGATCGCGAACCATACAGGTAAAACTACAGTAAAATCATTTCAGTGATTTATAAAAAAAAAATACCATCTATTAGACAGCCGTCATGTTTTTACGCAGTAAACCACGTGGTGTTCCTTCTTCGGTGGTATTTCCCACACTCCATCGGGCCCCTGAAGGCAGCTGCTTTCGTGTCCTACAACATGGCGGCCCCGGAGCCCAGCCGCTGCTGTTTCTTCGTGCAGAAGAAGAAGCGTTTCTGTAAGATGGTGGCGGGAAAAGGCAGAAAGTACTGCGGGGAGCACGCGACCATGGTGAGTTCACGGATACAGTCGCTTGCTCAGGTGTGATCTGGCTCCAGGTGGACCGGTCAGGAACAAGAAGGGGCCATCCCCAAAGTATGCCCACAAAGTCGCAAAGATGAAAGTGTCCAAAGTGTGTCGGTCTGCTGAAGCATGATGAGTTCCTTTCACTGGAACTAAGGGGTGGAACCCGACTCCTGGAAAACACCCCACACTCTAAAACCCCCTCCCCCAAACTTTACGCTTGGTACAGTGAAGTCAGACAAGTACCGTTGTCCTGGCAACCACAAACCTACTCTCATCCATCGGAGACGCGTGATTGGTCACTCCAGAGAACACGTCTCCATGGCTCTAGAGTCCAGTGGCACATGCTTTGCTATTTGTTTGGTGATGTAAGGCTTGGATGCAGCTGGTTGCCATGGAAACCCATTGTTCTTAAGATAATCTGAAGGCCACGTGAAGTTTGGACGTCTGTAAAGGTTGACTCTGCAGAAAGTCTGTGAACTCTGTGCACCATGATCCTCAGCATCCTCTGAGTCCGGTCTGTGATTTGCATGGCCGACCACTTCATGGCTGAGTTGTTGTCGTTCCCAGTCGTTTCCACTTGGTTATAATCCCACTAACAACTGGCTGTGGATATCGCAAAGACACTTCTAGCGTCCTATCACAGCACGACGCTGGAGCTCACTCAGCTCCCGAGAGCGAGCCATTCTTTGCAAATGTGTATAGAAGCAGTCTCCATGCCCAGATGCTGATTTTATACACCCGTGGACATGGAAGTGATGGAACACCTGAATTCAAGGATTTGGACGGGGGAGTGATTACAATATAGTCTTAATATCTCACTGTCTGGAATGAAGTCGGATATCTTATTACAGATCAAACCACAGATCATGATGAGGTGTGCACTACATTAATGTAATGCATGCACACACAGAATGAAGATCTCTTTATTCAGACTATACTGTACACCTGTATATACGGCACACGTGTGGACATACCATAGGAATCATATAGCTTGCAATGGCATGATGATGATCACAAGGTTATGCCTGAAGAGTCTGCGGTGGCTCAGTGCAGGTGAGCCGTTTGTAGCTGCTAGAGTTGGATCATTTGAAGCTGCATGAAGAAATCTGATGCATTCATTTATTTGCAGGCTCAGTGCTCGTGATTGTGAGGTAATGGGGTTCTGTATGAGGTTTAACAGCACGGGTCAGTCTGCGCTCTGGACTCACTGCTGCAGATGTCTTTGTGGGGATTTGGCACTGGGCTTGCCACCGTACTAGAATACAATGGTCGATACCACGGAGAAGACTTTGATCCTATCCTGCAACAATAGAAGTGATGAAGAAGAAGTCGTAATTTTTTCTTAATTTTTCCAGATCCGAACTTGCCATGGACACACTGGACAACGTCCTGAAAAAAACTCACCGTGGAAAGCTACGAGTATACATGAAGCGATGACGAGTTCATCCAGATTTCAGAAATCAGTGGGGTGGTCTGAGCTCACATCTGAGCAGGCAGACTGACCCGTGCTGCAGATATCAGCGAGTTTGAGAAGATCAATGATGTCGATCAGCTGTGATGTCATGAGCCTGTGATGTGTTTCCTGTTTCCAGGAGGAGGACGGGGGTGGCAGCAGGAGGATCGTCTGTCCTCTGGACCCCAAACAGTGAGTGACAACACATCAGTCATCAATCAGGTCATTGATCGGCTGACAGGAAGCTCATCACTGGTAGCTATTGATCCTACTCTGCTTGTTTATGTGTTTCAGCACCGTGAGTGAAGACAAACTCCAGAAACACTTGGAGAAATGCAACTCCAGAGAGAAAGCCAAACCGGTGAGACGCTATTGATCCATCAGTTGATCAGCGATTGCGTGTTTATCCAAGTGTTTCCACAGAGATGAACGTTTGATCTCCTGCAGGTTTACTTTGTCCAAAACATCAACGCTGGATCAGCTGATGGAGATGAGACGCTTCGACAGGTAACGACTCACCTGCCCCGTGGCTATTTAACACGGAGTCTCAGCTTACAGAAAGCTGATTCGTGGTTTTACGTTGGTGTTTTGTGGTCGAATGCTGATTGATCAAAGAAGAACTGGTAAAGTAAAACATCTGCAGACGCTTTGATTCACAGTGCCTCATCCAGGCAGACATTCACTGATCTCTAAAGACCAACAGCAGCTCGATTCACACACACACACTGTCAGGAAACAGTTTGTTTCACAGCAGAGGAAGCACCGAGAATGGACAGCAGCGTCTACACACACAATCACACACTTCTTCATTACGCACAAACCAGCACAGTAAATACTATAATAACCACTGATGACAGTGATGGTGACATCATGTTAGTGACATCATAATGGTGATGTGTTACAGGTGAGTCTGTCTGAGCTCAGCAGGACTGAGTTGGAAACTCTGGTGGATAAACTGAAGACAGCGTTCAAAGGTGAGCTGCTGAGATCCGGTGATCAGTGATGGCTGAAGTACTCACAATCTCACACGACTGCTTCAGTTTGGCTGATGTGACACAAAACATCACAAAACTGACAGTCTTTTCACTGAGTAGGTTAGGATTGGGATTAGATTCAGTTTATATTTAAACTGGGTGTAAATTAAGTTTAGGTCAGGGTTAAGTCAGCTTTAATTTGGGTTCAGATCAGCTTTAGTTTTGATTTATTTGGGGTTAGGTCTCGTTTTGGTTTAGTTTCAGGTTAAGGTTTAGTTTGAATTTAGGTCAGTTTTAGTTTTGGTTCAGGTCATGTTTAGTTCGGGTTTAATTTGGGTTAGGGTTAAGTGTGACTCATAAAGTTTTTGGACATTTTGTAAATCCGCGGATGTTCTCCTGGTGTCCCTGCTGTTGTTGTAGGACTGCAGTGCGATCTAGAGGACAGCGTCCAGTCTCACCCCGCCCTCCACGACGAGCTCCACAACCCAAAGAATGGAGACTCCGCCCACAAACACCTGAAGCAGCAGGTAGACTAGGTGACAGCACCATTAGTCTGTGTATTCATCTCATTTCCATGCTGAAGAATTAAACTGAGAAGTAAAACTAATCTCCGTCTGACCTGCCGGGTGTGCTCAGTCTTCCATCTTAGGTCACATGGAGGAGCTGGGGCTGCTGGGAAGGGGGCGGTGCTTTGTGGAGTTCGGAGCGGGTCGAGGGAAGCTGTCCCACTGGATCCACGAGGCCCTGAAGACTTGCGAGCATCTGAAGACCTGTGAAGACCTGCAGCTGCTGCTGGTGGAGCGCTGCAGCACCCGGTTCAAGGTACAGCCCTGATTCTGAAATCCACTTCACCCTAAACTCAAACCCAAACCCCCGACAACCCAAGTACCTTCAGAACCCCGCCTGCTCACCTGCTGCTTTCCATATTTTCATTTCTGGCTTTAAAATAAAAGTGGAAGCGTCGCTGTCGCATGTCGGCGTTCCTCCGATTCACACCTCACACACTGATGGTGTGTTGATCTTTTATGTAGAGACTGTGATCAAGACTGAAAGCAGCTGATCAGTTTGATTGATTGATAGGTGAAACAGGTGCGTTCTGTTGCAGGTGGACGGGAAACATCAGGATGCTGGAGTTCAGTTTGAGAGGCTGCAGGTGGACATTCAGCATCTGGATCTAAGTAAGACAGGAACATATGGACACTGTGGTGCTCTGACCTCTCCTGACCTGTTTCTGTGATGCTTTCAGGTAAAGTCCCTCTGCTCTGCGAGAAGAAACTGCCTCTGGTCGGAGTTGGTAAACACCTGTGTGGAGCGGCGACAGGTGAGAACAGCCAAAAAACTGTCAGCTCTGATTGGTGGTAAGCAACATCCGGCTCATAATTCCACGGTAACTGCTGCTCTACGCTGGTTCCTGCAAGCTCCATCCTGCTCTCTGATGGCAGTACACCTCCACCTGTGCTGAAGCATGATGGGTTTGGTTTTACCTGGCAGGGCAAAACCTGGAGATCAGTTTATGTTTTTCTCAGAACTTCAGCTGAAGTACACCAACATCCACCTGGAAACTAGCATTTCTGTAGTACTTGTCTAGTCTCATCATATTCTGGTTCCGTTCTCAGATCTGGCTCTGCGCTGTTTGCTGGAAACTGCAGGACAGTCGGAGGAAGAAGAACCGCCCCATAAACGCCTCAGACCATCAGAGCCAAGGTCAGGAGGGGGTCTTGGATCAGCACCAACAGGTTGTGGTCCTGGCCCAGTGCTGGGCCTGACAGTGGCACTGTGCTGCCACCATCGCTGTGATTGGCGTCACTACGTCGGGCAGCAGTTCTTTCTGCAGAGAGGACTCGGGGCGCGGGAGTTCTCTGCTTTCTGTCGGATGTCCAGTTGGGCCACGTGTGGACTCAGACCGACCAATCAGAGAGGAGATGGCGAAGAGCACGAACCAGCAGAAG